TTCATTGTTTTGTCTGCTGTGTCTGAGCTATAGTAAACCCTCAGGTGTTTTCTGAATTAGGGATTGGCATCCTACCACTACTGCCTTAGTCTCTACTACCATAAGTCTGCACTTCATAAGAGGAGGCTCAGTGCCATGCATCTCTGTCCTCATCATAGTTTAGCACTGTAAACAGTCACCACATAATTTGATAAAGTACTAGCATTTGTTGAGTAGAGGGGAGAAATCATAGTAACTTGTCATCCTAGTTAGCAAACTTCTGTAAAGAACCAGACAGTAAATATTTCTGTCTTTTATCTATTTCATACTGTTGCTGTAGAATATTTTTTGACCTAAAAATATCAAACCCATCCTTATTTACAGTAAAAACTGGATAAAGATATAGGAATTGCTTGCAGTAATGCTTTTGAGTCCATGTCAGGTTTTATGACAGGAAGGAAAAAAGGCAAACCCAGTCAGCTATGTTGATTGCTCAGAGGCCAAAACTGGTTTCAGTAGCTCCCTGGATCCTCTAGCTTGTGTCTTAAAAAACACTGCTCATGGGTGCCACTGGTAGTCTCTCCCACTAGATGAGTTTTGTTTTGTTTTCCATGCTCACAGCTGGTTAAAGAACTTCTGGAGGGCTAAGAAAAGTTAATCCCAAGATCTTGGTCTAAGTGAAATGGAGGATTCCTCTGGAAAGTGTCCAGTAGCTTATAGGAAACTCTGTTCTTAGGCTGGGAAGAAGCAGGGTGGCCCAGTGCTTATCTAGCATGCTTGAGGTCCTGGTTTAGTCCTGTCCTGGCTAGGTTTATTTTTTTCCAGTTTGATGTAAGCTAGAGTCTTCTGGGAAGAGGGAACTTCACTTGAGAAATGCTTTTAGCAGACTGGCCTATAGGCAAGTCAATGGGGGCATTTTCTGGGTTAATGATTGATGTGGGATGGCCTAGCACACTGTGCCATCCCTGAACAAGTGATCCTGGGTTATATCAGTGAATGCAAACTGAGAAAGCCATGGAGAGCATTCTTCCATGGGCTCTATTTCGGTTTCTGCCTCGACTTTCTGTCCTGGCTTCCTTCAGTGATGAACTGTAAAGTGTAGGCTAAATAAAGCCTCCCGTCTCCTAGGTTCTTTTGGTTATTACATTATCACAGCAATAGAAATCAAACCAGGACAAATCCCCAAACAAACTAACTTGCCTACTACTCAACAGCTTTTAAGACTCAGCTATGAAAATTGATAATGTTGCAAATTTAGGAAATTTTTTTGAGTAAAAAGATATTGAATGATTTAACTAGTAACCTGTGGATGGGGTAGCTGATTTCTAGCCTTTGCTGTGGTCTTCAAGGGAATATAAATGCACTATAGCCTCTGATGTGGTTGGAAGTCCAGAAGTGATTCCCTTCCCTTGAGTGATCTTACTGGCCACTTGACTCTACATGTGTTTCTCTACAGTTGAGGCCAGCAGATCTAGGAGAGAAGTGAGCTCAGCTCTTCAAAGAGAAAAACAAAATAGGTCTTTGCTCCATAGATGTTGCTAACCTTGCCAGCAGAGTTGTGTTAAATGCTGTTAAAATGTGTTATGATTTATAGTTAATTTAAACAAGTAATGTTACTAATATACACATTCTGTAATATGTGTTTTTATAGGTAATTTGATATCGTATTGATCATAGAGCTATGGTTAATTAAGATATTAGTAGTTTATTGTGCTAGTAAAGCATTTAATCTCAATAATATGATTTGTGTGGTAGTTTGAAAGAGAATAGTCCAGTTCTAACAGTGTGGCCTCTGGTCAGTAGCCTCAGTATTGCTGGGAACTTGTCACCGAGGCAACAAGTTCTTAGGGTTTCACAGCTGATGGTTTATTGAGCTTTGAAGAGTTGAGACCCCTGGTTTAAACCTTAAGAGGTTATTGTATTTTTTTTCCATGGACATGCTAGTAAAGTTTAGCGTGAAGTTGTGCTTATACAACTGACAAGATCTGGTATCAACAAATGATACATTTTCTCTTTAATATCAACAGGTGACACTTGGACAGAAACACTGGCGTATGTCCTCTTCTGGGGAGTTGCAAGCATTGGAACATTTTTTATTATTCTTTACAATGGCAAAGATTTTGTTGATGCTCCTAAATTGGTCCAGAAAGAAAAGATAGACTGAATTTGTGTTTGTGGAAAGCGGCTTGGCTTGGAAGACTCCATGATGCAAAACTGGAGTCTTTACTAACCTGCTTTCCACATGAGTCCCAAGGTCTTCTTAAAGCCTCTACCCAGAAGCACCTCTTGTGGTAGGGGCTGGACGTTTTAGGGTTGTCGATATTACTGCTTTGATCTCTTTCCTGTTGGGATGGTTATATTTATAATCTGACGCTATACTGTAATTGAAATGTAGCTTAAATTCAGCTCACAGATCAGAAGAAATCTATTCACTGTCAAGTTAATCAGAAGTTCACAGATAAGTAATATATTTTAAATTTTTAACTTCTTTCATTATTTAAGACAGTAAAATTATTTTTCTAGCTGTTTCATTATTGTCATTATAAAGCAGCCACTGTTAGCAAGCATATTTTCCATATATCTTTGGACTTTTCTTAAAAGTTTAATAGTATGCTAATCCTATCTTTATAGAATGTCGCTTACAGGTATCAAGAAGTTTGTTAAGTTATGATTCCACAGGAAGGAAGAGGAGAATGGAACCTAGCGTTGTTCCAAGTTTCTAGTAGCTGCTTCTTAGCTTCAGCCGCCTTGAGCTGCTTAAGTGCCCTAGCAGCTTAAATCTCGTGAAAAGTTCAGATATACTTTATCTTTTTAAAGGTGTAAATGAAATCAAAGAATGTAAAGTCTGTCTCTTATGCTAAAGGTCCAAAGTTGCCTCTTTCTAAGAACTGCTCCATTGTGGAAAGTACAGTCTACTGGCCGGCTGCTTCCTCCCACATCTTTGTGGCACCTTTTTGTTGTTGTTGCCCATTGAGACATGCAGGCAGGCCTCATAGTGGGTCTTGTGCTAGGTTTGGTTCACACTTGGGGTAGCAACTGCTTTTCCATGCATGGTACTCTTGCTTTCTCACTGTCAAGGTTTTTGTTGGCTGTCAATAAGTGTCTGAAATTTAGTGCTTTCCAGGTAGCCATAGTTCTCCAAATCAAGGACCAACTTTAGTTTGTGCATAAAACAGACTGAAAACTGCGCTTCAGAAGCTGTGCATAGTTGTAATTGTGAGACAGGTTATATATTAAAATTGTAATTATGAAGTTTAGATATTAGAACAGTATATAAGGTAGTATCATTGCACTATCTTAAAACAATTCAGTTAAACACTGCTATGGTACATCAGTGTTTTGCTTGAAAATATGTAGTTTTTTTCTAATAGTAGTACCTTATGTTGTCCTTAAATATTTCTAAAAGCGCCTTTGTTTTAACATTACCTTTTTTTTCAACATTATCTTTTATAAACAATAAAAGTTATTGCTTTTAGAAACTCTGGGAAAATCCTGTGTAGCTTAAAATCAGTCATTAAAACTCACAGTAGGGTAAGTAAATAGAGCCTCCTATTCTGACATGTAAATAAGTGTAATTTGTTCCAAAGATGGAATATTGAAGCCCAGCCCATGTCTACTATAATGTATTATTCAAATACTACTGGGCATTTCACAGTAAGCACTTCATGTCAACAGCTACAGCAAACACCAAATCTGAACCGCTAATGTGGCTACTTTGCAAGGACTAATTGTCAGTGGGTTAGACTGCAAGTGATCAATGTTTCAGAGCCCTGCAGTGATTTTGTTTAATTCATGTACTGTACATCCATATGCAAAAATAAAATGCCATATTCTTTTCTAACTACTGTTGGTGGTGTTTTTATCAGAGGTGGTAATGTTTGATCATTATAGAAATACTAGTCATTATAAATAAACAACACAAGCAATACCTTCTAAACTGTTTTCCAGTGATAATCACCGAAGACATTATTTTCTATAGATAAAGTTAGGGCAACATTTAGTAATATATATAACATTTAGTAAGGCTTAATGTCCACAAGGGTATCTCTACTTCCAAATTATAATTTGTTTAAAACTAATATAGGTTACAGGATGATAAGGAAGTATGGATAGATAAGTGGTACAGGTTGTAACTGATAAATGGGAAAATAGTACATATTGGAAAATATTTTTAGTGCTGGAGATGTAGCTCTGTGGGTAGAGTGTGGAACCCTGGGCACAATTCCCAGCACTCTATAGACCTGTAATAATGGCCTCAGCTGTAATCTCAGCACTTGGGAGGTGCAGGCAAGGGTCTGAAGCCTGCATATGATACATGAGATTCTGTCTAAGAAAAATTTTCAGGCTATAGAAAGGTGTCAGTGAGCCTTAGGAAAATACTGAGTAAACACGTTGATGCAGGAAGTCCTTGCTTATATGGGAAATGAGGTGAAATTCCTTGAAAATGGTATCCAAGGTATGTACAATGTACATATGTTTATACATTTACATATGTTTTCATATCTACATGTATATGTGTATATGCTTTAAAGATTTGTTTCTGTATTTCCTTAGTTTCCCCAGGTTCTTAGTGAAATAACTAACAAAATGTGGTAGGTTATTTGAATGTATTTGTTCACTGTGAGAAGGTAGACCAGCTCTGAATGGCCTCACCGTGTTAATGAACCTATTGTAACAAGTTCAGGGCATTCCACAAGGCCACATTTAAGATTCTACTGAAAGCAGGCAGGTCTGTTTTCAAGGCGATTGTCACTGTTGGCAAGATTCAGTTCCTCCCATGCTTGTTGGGTTGACCATCCGTGCTGACTCTGGACTGAAAGCCATTTATTCTCTTCAGACAATAATTTTTACATCATAGCCAGCAATATGAGTCTGCAATCAAGATGGAAGTGTTCCCATCACTTTTACTGTATCCTTCGCACTAGAAGTCAGTGGCTGTAGCTCATTCAAGGGTAAGAGATTACACAAAAGCATCAGTACCAGGAGGTGGGGATCTTTGGGGGTGGGTGGGTGGGAAAGAGGGAGGGAGAGAGGGGGGCTAGTAAACTGGAAGTAATTGGGCTTCTTGGAGGTGTATACTTAAGCAGGACAAATGTGAGCTGATTTAATGCTGCATAGTAGGTGAACTTAAAAGGGTGAGAAACTGGAAAAAGAGGTTTGACTGGTATGCCATGTGCTGCTTGGCCTTCTCACTGAGATTAGCTCTAATGTGCTCCCTCCCCTCCCCAGATTTTTATTTTGTGTGTGTCTGCGTATATGTATGTGATCCACATGCATGCCTGGTGTGTACACAGGCTGAAGGAGTGTGTTGGAGCACCTGAAGTTAGGGACCATTGTGAGCCACCTATGGGAACTGAATCTGCAAGAGAAGTAGTAAGTACTCTTACCCACTGAGTCATCTGTCCAGCTGTGTGTGTGTGTATCTTATGTATGTACGGACAGGTGCCAGAGACGGATGTGAGGCGGCCTGCTGTCTCCTTCCACTGTCTCCTCTGAGACAGGGTCTCTCTCTGGAGTGATAGTCACATGCATGGCCACTGGGATCATTCTCTGGTCCTCATGCTTGCACAGTAAGTGTTGTGACTCATTGAGCCATAGCTCTCTTGTTTAAAGTAGTGTCTCACTATGTAGCCCAGATTGTCTCCAAACCTATGATCCTCTTGCCTCCTAAATGCTGGGATTATAAACATGTTCCAGCATGCTTGACTGTTTTTCACTTTTTTCTTGATGGTGGTTTTTTAAGTTTTATGAAATTTTTATTTATGTATGTTTATGGATCTTTTGAACTCAGTAGAACCCATACTTAACTATTGCTTGTGTTACAGTACATGTATCCCTAGGATACTGTTGTAATACACTTTTTGTAGCTGTAGTATGAAATAGCATCTCATTCTGGCATTTCTCTGAGCATTGAACATCTTTTCATAATTTTGATTTTAATTGTCTATGGGTCTTGTTTGGAGCCTGCTGTGGTCTTTTACTTGTTTTCCATGGATTTATTGAAATTGTGTTCTTGAAATGATTTGTTAGTTGTAGCTTGTCCTCCTGTTCTTTGATACAGTGAATGACCATATTGCATCTTTTGAGTTCACCTCCAAGGACAACTTTTGACACTTGTCACTTTTAGATCTCATTCTATCCACAGTCGTTGACTGGGTTATGTATTGGTGCTTTCCCTCCTTCCTGTGCACTCTGCTCTCTCACAGTTGTCCTGACAGAAGAGAAGCCTCTGCTCAGAAATGACAATCTCTCTTGCTCATGTTTCATTGATCACAGGTGATAACATGACCAAATCATACATTACCTGAGGCCAGGTGATGCTCTCCTGCCCTTGAGGGACAGTGCCAGATGCCATTAAGCTTAGCTGCTTACTGAGAATACTGGAGCCCTCCCTGCTCTGGGTGTTTGGGGCTTTTCCCTGTTCCTTTATGTTGTCTTTGCTGAGAACCCTTCTTGGTGTAGCCACATCTTGGGCCTCTCATGTGTTCTGAGTCTTCCAGCTTCCACAGTCTGCTCATTGCAACCCTTGACAGAGTGCTTTCTTACACATTTTTACTTAAATTAAAAACAATCTTATTTTACATACCAATCCCTCTTCCTCCTGTCCTCTCATGCCCACCAACCCCCTCCCCCATTTACTCCCTAGGGATGGTGAGGCCTCCTGTGGGAGATCATCAAAGTCTGACACATCATTTGGGGCAGGTCCTGGGCCCTCTCCAGTGTATCTAGGCTGAGAGAGTATTCTTCCATAGGGAATGGGCTCCCAAAGCCCATTTGTGCACTAGGGATAAATACTGGTTCTGCCAGAGGCCCCATAGACTGCCCAGGCCTCTCAACTGACACCCATATTCAGGGGACCTGGTTCTGCCCTATTCTGGTTCCCCTAGATGTCAGACTGCGTTCTGTGAGCTTCCACTTGCTCAGGTCAGCTGTTTCTGGGGGTTTCTCCAACATGGTCTTGACCCTTTTGCTTATTACTCCTCACTCTCTACAACTGGATTCCAGGAGTTCGGCTCAGTTCTTCCATCAGCTACTGGATGAAGGATCTAGGATGGCATTTAAGGTAGTCATCAATCTCATTATCAGGGAAGCCCTTAAGGTAGCCTCTGCGCTATTGCTTAGATTGCTAGATGGGGTCATTCTTGTAGCTCTCTGGACATTTCCCTAGCGCCAGATTTCTCTTTAAACCTATAATGGGTCCCTCTATTAAGGTGTCTCTTTTCTTGCTCTCCTTCTCTATTCTTCCCTTGATTCGATCTTCCTGAGCCCTCATGTTCTCCTCTTCCTCCTACCTCCCTCCCCCTGTGCTCCCAATTTGCTCAGGAGATCTCGTCCCTTTCCTCTTCTCTGCGGGACGATGTATGTCTTCCGTGTTTCCTAGCTTCTCTGGGTTTGTGGATTATAGGCTGATAACCCTTTGTTCTATGTCTAATACCCACTTAGGAGTGAGTGTGTACTATGTTTGTCTTTCTGTGTCTGGGTTCTCACATTTTTTTTTTTGATCCAGGATATCTGTGACAACTGTTAGAAAACATTGGTTCAAATGGTTAAAATGTTGTCTATATTGTAGGCCTTTCAAAGGCTTGAAAAGTGACTCCTAGAGAAGGTATATGCTGTACAACGGCATCAAGTGTTTTAGCCAGTGCAGTCTTATTCTTTGAACATCACATGATTTTCCTGTGGAATTCATTTTGGACAGGGCTAGGGTAGTGTGAGAACTCTAGAGCTTGTGATTTTCAACTCCAAGGCCCATCTATTTAATTCTCAGTTCAGAGTTGATTTGTGCACATGCTCACAGAATTCCAGCTGGATGCAGGTATCACAAGTAACTAAACAGTTTAATTCCTCCTGACATTTTCATTTATCACCTCATGCACCTGATTGGGTAGAAGCAGTCACCCTGTATCATGTGGGTGTCATGTCAGTGAGGAGAGTGTACAGATTTGTCTCCTAAGACAGACAAGTAAATTGAAGGTTACAAAGTGCCAGTCTTCTAAGACTTACAGAATCAATTATCTTCAAGACTGACTGTAAAAGCTAGTGTCCATTTATGGAAAGAAGGCTGCACATGACCCTCAGGGCCAAGTATTTCATCTTCCTCACACCTATTTTTTTAAATAAATTTTATCATATTTGAGGTTTACACCATAATATTAGGGGATATGTAGCAAATGTACAGTACATTAGAACAAATATCTCAGTATGGTTTTATATATTGTACTTTAAATTTTATCCTATACTTCTGTTTCATCTACAACTCATTTCATCATTTTCCCCCTCCTCTACCACCAAGGAGCAAGAGTCAAGTCACATATAAGGGGATATCCATTAGACTGTAAGTAAATGGATTTATCAATACATTCAAACTGCTAAAAGAAAGAAACCTGCCAGTCAAGAATACCATATCCAGCAAAGTTACACTTCCGTGATAAAGCAAAACACTTACCTAGACAAGAAAAAGCAGAGGAAATACTGAACAGTCATATATGATATCCCATGTTTAATCCAGGCACTGGCGAGGGTGAAGTGAGCAGATTGTATGTTTGAGCACAGTCTAGCATTGATTGCTCCTTGAGACTTACACCTCCTCCCTCCCCACGCTTTGCTAAGGAATGGTTCAAACAGAAACAAGAGGATAATAAGTATATGTATGATCTTTTGTAACAGCATAGGGAGACCCAATCTGGGGTATATACATACCAAGACTCCATCCCAACAAAAGAGCAATGATAGAAGTAAATTTGTAATCCAGAATCCCAATTTGTAATGATGGTATATAAAGTAAATATTTGATATCTCCAGAATGAAAACTAAAGGTCAAAATGATGAAAAATTATATCTACTCTGAGTTGAGTATATAATATGCCAAAGTATTTATGGCCAAAGTTATGTTTCTGCTATCCCAAAGTAACAGAATTAATTTTCCTTTGCAGATTCTGGAAGTAGAAAGTACTTCTGTCTTTGAAAAGCAACTGAGGAACTTCTACTGTAGGAAGTAGCTGTGAAACAGGTCTGTGAGAGAGCCACTTCTCAGGCCAAAGGAAACTTGGCTCTGCTCCTGAAGTGGCGTGTGACAAAAGTGCCCAGGGCTACCAGAGGGATGCACATGGTAGAGGAGGCTACCAGAATCCCTATGACAGCTAGTGCATATGTGGGGTAATCCTTGGTCACCACATGGCCCTGCAAGAGAGAGACATGAGAAACCTTCACTAGTCTTGACTACTTCCTCCAGCCTTCATTCCAGCCTCCATTCCGAAAAAAAGGGAAAATGGTTTAGGTTGAACATGAAATACTTTCCCTCATAGACTCAGATGCCTACCTTCTCTAGCCATGTAGTTCTACTTTAGGAAGTAGGTAATTGGGGGCTGTTGGCTTCCACTCTATTTTCTGGCCATCAGGGAGTGGAAACCTCTACCTCACACTCTTGTTGCTGTGATATTCTATCCAACCCAATAAAGTGGCCCCTCTGAAACTATGCCCCCAAGTCTCTTCTTTCCTGAATTATTGCCAGAATTTTGGTCAGTATTATAATAAAAGTAACATGGGTGGGAATGGGCCTGTATACCAGCACCTCATGATCCAGCAAACCTGCATGAAACCATTCCCACCTTTTTGTCTTTTACCCATGAGAGCTCCTTTGAAGAACCAGCACCATCTAGGGAAAGGGCCACTGGGGTGACTGTTGCTCTCTCCATGCATCAAGGTTAAAGGTCTCACAGCCCAGTTCTGCTGCACTAGACTGAGCATCCCTGAAACATCTCGATGAAGTTCCCGTGCTGTCACCTGTAACCTCCTCACACCACAGCAACGGCTCCGTGTGTTGTGAAGTGACCTCATGGGCTCTGCCTTATTCCCCAGCCCTGTGGGAACATCAGGTACCTGAGTGGCATCCCAGGCTTGGTACTGTAGCGTTCCTGTGAGGATATAGTCACTCAGGTAGAAGACAAAGAGGCTGATGATGAGCACTGGGCTCACAAACGCCCACATGGCCTTCCAGTACCAGTTGAGGGTGCGGCCGGTCATGGCCTGAAGGTCACTTCCAAATCTGTTGGACCACAAGGAGAGAGCCTAGGTTTGTTCGTGTTCTGGAGGGAGGGGCTCCAGTCTGCATCCCCTCTGCCCTTAGGAAGATGCTCTTCTGGTTACTGATGGTGTTTGAACGTGCCCCAACCCATCTGATCCTTTCCTGGGGGAGGTGTTGAGGTGAAGGGAACAGGGCCGAGGCTGTCTGAAGGAGGATGGCCAATAAAGAAGGGGTCGTGGGTCATCGTCTCTCTGGTGTTGGCCTTCAGAGGTCCCCAGGTGTGGATCACGGGCTAGTTCCCAGAGAAAGTGGGAACAGGTGCCTGGGGGAGAGGAACGTCAGTCACCTCAGTCCACAGGGCTAGGTGACATTCCCTCTCTACCCACTAATGATGGTTCTAAGTATTCCTTACTGCCCCCTAGAGATGGTCTCAGAACAGTCACTCTGTGCTCGGGAGGGCCTGGCCTTAGTATGGAAGAGCAGGAAGAGTGGAGCAAGAATTGGGCCTGGAGCTCTGAGAGTTCAGTTGAAGAAAGGGTAGAGGGATTATATGAGCAAGGAGAGGTCAAGATCATTTAATAGGGAAACCCACAGACAGCTGATCTGAGCTTGTGGGCACTCATGGATTCTGGATGGACAGCTAGGGAGCCAGAATGGAACCAACTTAGTCCCTCTGCATCAGGGTAACAGTTGTGTGGCTTGGTCTTTTTGGGGGTCCCTAATAGTGGATGCATGAGCTGGCTCTTTGGGACCTGTTCTCTGTGGTGGGATTCCTTGATGAAGAGGGTGTGGAGCTTGGTCCTGCCTCAACTTACCTTGCTTTGTTGATTCCCATGGAGAGGCCTTACCCTTTCTGAATGGGGGGGTTGGTTTAAAAGGGAGGGGAAACTGGTTGGTCTATAAAATTTTTTAAATGATGAATAAAAAATGGGGGTTCAGAAGGGCTCTTCCTTCCTTGCAGGATTAAGAAAAGCAAGGTCCCAGACTACTGGTTCTCAGCAAGTAGTCCTCAGAACACCAAGGAAAGTATTAAAAATATTAGTTTCTACTTTGTCTCAGACCTTAGCAGATACCTAATGAAAGAAGCCCTGTAATCTTCATTTCATTGGCCCCAGTGTGAAAGCTTTTCCACACCACAGTTCTGGCCCCAGATACATACCGGGAAGACTGAAAACATCTCAATTGTTGGACAGGGAACCAGCGCAGAAATCTGACATCTATTAAGCCAAATTTTCTAACTTGATTTGACCAGGGTTCTTGGGAACCCTAATGCTGGGGGATGTTCAGAGGCTGAGTTATTGGCCAGATAAAATGTGGAAAACAGGAAAGAAGCGGTTGGACACAGGCAAACTGAGGAAGCAAGAGGTAACAACTCTGAGGGCAAAGCATCTAGAGGGAATGTACCTACTGAGGAAGGGTGATGTTCTTATGAGTGTTAACACTGCAGCTTGTCTGCTCCCCCACCCCACCCCACCCCACCGTAGCATCTGGAGGACTCCTTACCTCTTTAGCCCATATACATAGCACACAGCTATGGTCTCCACCAGCACAATGAGCAGCAGGGACAGTGTGGCTGCGTAGTCATTGAAGATGTCAAACCAGTAGTTCCCAGCCTCCATGGTGAACACCATGCCGATGGCACAGCTGATGAGGCACACCAGCCCTGGAACACAAGACTACTGTTGATCTTTCTACCTCTCACCCCATGCTATATGCCCGCAGGATGAGCTTTGCAGGGGAGGTTCGCCCACATGAGCTGTAGGAGCTGCTCAAAAGCAGTTGGGGGCATTGCCTTATCCGGGCTGCAGAAGCTCAGTCCCAGGGAGGATGCCAAATGCTGAGTAAAGGGTATCGCTTCCAGTCGGTGGTCAGAACACGAAAACTAGTTGGAGCCTTGTTTCACCTTTCCTGGATATGGAGTTACGGAATTATCAGAGGTAGAAGTGGCTGGCTACAGAGTCCTCATGACCCCTGGTTGGGTAGAATGATAGTGAAGTTAATGAGTAGCCATCATGGGAAAGGCTAGTTCCTTTGCTGACAGCCTCAGAGCATGAAGAAATGGGTATGTGCTCTTATAGTGATGTATCAGACAGGACCAGGGACTGACAATTGCTGCCAACAGCAGTATGGTACAGCTCACTGACAGTTTTGAGTGTCAACAGCAGGCCCAGATTATACTTTCCAGTGATTTTCAGAACACAGACAAAAACTAGTAGCATTAGAAATCAAAACAAGGTGTTCTGATTGGGTGCTTACTGCCTGGGGAGTATGTAGAGGGAGCTCCTTCTGGTGTGGGAACAGATCATATGCTCACCTTAGGAAACAAACAGTTATCCTTTGGTTAAAACAAAAACCGAGTAGGCTCTCAAAGCCTGGAGACCTTTGCATGCAGGCTGGGTAGATGTCACCTTTTCCCAAGGGTTGGTTGACTGTCTCATTTCCCTGGGATGTGGTGAGTTCTTAGCCCAGCTCCCAGAGCTGAGCATCACACTGTAGCAGGAGCTACACTCCTACAGCCCTCCTGGAGTTGTCTCTAGAAGCACACGGCTCCTAATTAAACCCCTCCACTGACTGTCTTGCATTTCCACACCCACCCCTGCCCTGCCTCCACTGCCTGGGGTCCTGACCTGAAATGGCCTCCTTGGGCAGGTAGCTGGAGATGACCTTGCTGTCAGTCAGAGGGGTGAGGATGGCTGTTCCTGTCCCTACCATGCTTCCCATACCCAGCGTCAGCAGCATGAAGAAGTAGAGGACTGACCACAACTGGGACACGTCCATGTTTTTAATGGCCTCTGTGTAGACAATGAAGGCCAGGCCTGTGCCCTGGACAGCCTGTGAATGATAAAATGATACCAGTTACCATTCTCTTAAATATGTTCAATGTTGGGACCTTGGAGCTGGCCAGAGTTTCCTTTACTTCAGCCCAGGTCCCAAGGCTCACCTGGATTGACTAGAACATACATGAAGTGTGACAAACTTCTTCTGTCAGTACAGAACCCTGCATCCTTCTTCCTTCCCAGCTTACATTTTAGATAAAACATTGCAAAATCAAAAACATATCTGGATCTTTGTTTCCATTGCCAGGACTGAGGAAATGTGGTGGGGATAACTTGGCAGAATTGCTTAATGGATGTATCCAATATGCTTGTATTGATAACCTGCTGTGGAAGCTGAGCCTACTGTTTTTGAATTTATATTTTATGTATGAGTGCTTTGCATGTATACCAGCAGAAGAGGTTATCAGTTTATATTACAAATAGTTGTGAGCCACCATGTGGCTTGCTGGGAATTGAACTTGGGACCTCTGGAAGAGCAACCGATACTCTTAACCTCTGAACCATCTCTCCAGCCCCAAGCCTTCTAGTTTTGCTTAAAGTCAAATCCCTTTTGACACCAGTAAGGGGTCCTGAGTGAGTAAGTTTAGCTAACCACAGGACTGCTAGAAAGTAAGGCAAACATACAAGGGTTTACAAAGCAGCAGGAAGGCAAGTCACCATGAGCAAGAATGACAAGGACGTCTCTCTTCAAGGATGGCATATGTTTGTCAGAATCAGAAGTGCTATGATGGTTTTCTTGTTGGTTTTGGTGTTTTGAGGCAGGGTGTCTCTGTGTAACATTCCTGCCTGTCCTGGAACTCACTCTGTAGGCTAGACTGGCCTCCAACTCAGAGATCCACCTGTCTCTCCCTCTCAGGTGCCTGGATTAAAGGTGTGTGTCAATACTGGAAAGTTCTACCCTCGAAGTGACTGCATACAGACAGGGTCTTTATGTGGGTCACTAAAGTAAGGCTAAAGGACTTAAAGGCATCCTAGTGTAATAAGACGACAATGATACCACTGCTTCTCCCCTGCACCGCCCCAACTGGAACTTCCTATCTTAAAATTTGTGTAATATATAAGCCTATTTATTATTTTGATTCACCTTTTCAGGTTAGTTGTATTAATTTCTATTTGTGCTGTTACATATTTATCTTCCTTTCTCTGAGATACAACTGAGTATGTATCTCCCAGTTCACTACTTCTCTTCAGTAGCATCAAATCTAGTATTTAACTCTCAATTGACTATTTCAGCAATTTCTCATTGTCATTTATAACACTATTTCCCCTTCAATGATGTCAATTTCTATTTACATATATGACTAATTGTTTTCTTTTTTAACTCTTTAGACATAGCTATTACCATAGTGACCATAGGCAGGAATGGGAGACTACTCTAGAGGATTCTTACCCTGACCCTGTTAGAAAGACTGGCTCATATAATGAAGGAGCTAGCTCTCTGAAGGCAGTAAGTTTGCCACATATGTTGTAGTGAGAACAGAGGCTATTGTTAAAATGAAGATTAAGGGTTAAGACAGCAAAGTCTGAAACACTAAGATGAATACGAAAGCTTATGGGTAGGTACGAGAAGGGACAGGGATCTAAGTCAGTGACAGCAGGTAGGCTGTCACTTCTAAAGTCCCCGAGGAACACGGGATGCATTATTGTTCTTTCATGCATTCTTGCTTCTAATGAAGCCAAGTATAGCTAAATCACAAATGTAGATATATGGCTTCTAACAAGACTCCACTCTAGGTGGCTGTGATAGTTAACTATCTGCGGTGGGAAAGCTACAAGTTGGTCATGTAAATGTGAGCACACAGTTGGCCTAATTACAGTACTTGAGACACCTGCAAAGTCTTAAGGTAGCAAGACCAGCTAATGATTAATAGCAGAGTCAAGGTTAGTAACAACACTGGAGCCACAGATGCACATACAAGGTCTTGTACCACCCCTGAGTGGGCAGTATATGAACTGTGTTGGTGTCTCCCTGGTTGGGTCAGGAGGGCATGCACAGTCATGCACAGAGAATTAACCAATCTCAACAGATAGTCTTTGTCCACCTTCTGTCATTGTGCTATCAAAAGACTGGACAAAGGAAATTCAGCAGCCTTTTCCTCTTAGAAACCCTTTCCACTCTAGCGGGGTTCTCTCACCTTTCTTTATTTCCTCACTTTCCTGTAGCTTTTTTGGTTTTGGGGACAGGGTTTCCAGGTTTGCTCTGGAGACCAGGATGGCCTTGATTTGCCTTGCCTCTGCTTCCTTTGAATGCTTGGATTAAAGGTGTGCATTATTACCATGCCCGGCCCTCTGAAATAATAAAAGCTGCACCTTTAATTTTCATTTGCAAGAGACAATGAACTCAGTCACTGTCTCAAACCAATCTTTAATGATTCTGAGTGGCCAGCCTCTTAGGACATTGTGTGAATCACAACTGGGTGAAAAAGCTCCCCTCACTGTGGTACTATATTAAAGCTTGCCTGAGGGTTCAGAATGTAAAGCTAGCCACAAGTCATAGAGGTCAGGCGGTGGTGATACACACGTTTAATTCCAGCAGTCATACTAGCTAGCCACAGAGCCAGGCAGTGGTGGTACACACCTTTAATCCCAGGACTCAGGAGACAGGCAGATGGATCTGTTAGTTCAAGGTCACACCAAGCTACATGAAATTGATCCAGTCTAAAAGAAAAACAGCTCACATAAAGATCCATAGATCAGAAAACCTAACATCACTTAGGTCTAGATTGGATAAGTAAAACTACATCCATACCATTGAGACAACCAAAGACAAAGGGGAGAACAGGACAGGATTCAGACAGAACTGCTTGCTAACAAAAGATGAAAGAATTTCAACAACAATGGAAGGTGGAAGGCAAATACAATGTTGAAATAATTGTTAACCCGATTTTTTACTTGGGGGCCAAATACTGATATTTGCATATAAACTAAACATGGACATATGTACTGTTGAGAAAATGTCTCTAAAGGAAGATATTTTAAGGGAGGATCCACAAACCCTAAAGGCTGCAATGCAGAAAAGAATGATAAAATGGCAAACATGTAGGTAAATATAAATTGCGTAAGGTTAGAAACAGGGTCCAACCTATGGCCTATTAATTGGATATGAATTATCCTTGTCCTCTTTGGTAAGTTAAACATTGCCTAACTTTTGATTTTGAGTTTACATGGAAATTTCTCAAATAGAGAAATCGGGGCAGACCAAGTGGGTAAAGGCTCCTGCTACCAAGCCTGACAACCTGAGTTTGATCCATGGGGTCCTGGGAGGGAGAGGCTCAAGTCTTCAACTTGTCCCTTGACTTCCACCCATGATTTGTGGAACATCTGCACACCCCTCCCCCATAAGTGTAATAAATCTAGATTACAAATGAGAAGCAATGAAGTAGGGGAGTATAAAGGGAAGCCTCAAAGACTCTCAAGTTTCAAAAGCAAAAACAATCTTGGAGAGAACAGCGACCAAGTGTAGAAGACTGAGGTATTAAAGGCCTGTGATATGATGTGTGCCATGCCTTGGGCTGATGCAGTAGGACCTGGGCCTGAACCACCACAGGAAAGTGTTGCCTTCCCCATGAAATAACCAGGAATGTCTCCACGGATTAAGCAAACTCTCTAAAATCCTGTCTAATCAAACACAAAAAATTTAACCAATTTTCAAATTGTTTTTTTGGCAACCAGAGCTGCAGGTCTTCTATAGTCCCTATTCTTGAAGAATATTCTCTAAAAGTAATTTCTTAAGAATGTATTTAAATATAAAATTGATACAAATAGGCACACTCTCAATTCCATTTCCATTGTTGTTGGAGTCTTAGCGTAGTGAAGAAAAGGAAATAAAGTATAAACATGTAAAAGAAAAATATAGTTGGCCAGGGTAATGAATGTCTGTATTCTCACCACTTGAAAGATGGAGGCAGGAATATCATGAATTCAAGACCAGCCTGGGCGATGATACCCATTTCAAAATGAAAATAATAATAAAAGCAGGAAGAGAGAGTGGGGAGAGGGAAGGGTACTCCAATCAAATGGCATGAGGAAACAAGCAGACGTTGCTATCCTAATATCTGACAAAGTAGATTTCCAATTAGCACTAGTCAGAAGAGAAAGAATGACACTCCATTCTAATTACGGGAACAATTAACCAAGAAGACATTATTATCACAAATACGTATGCACCAAACTCTGGTGAATCCAATTTCATAAAAAGATGTACTAAAATTAAAGACACAGATTAACATCAAACCATAAATAGTAGGTGATCTCAGTACCCCAGTTTCTGCAACAGATAGGTCATCTGGCAAAGAGTAAGCAAAGAAACATCATAATTAAATGCCATCATACATCAAATGACCTTAACATTTCTACAGAATATCCCATCCAAAATCCAAAGAATATACATTCTACTCAGCAGCACATATAAGCTTCTCTTAATAAGAACACATCCTGGAACACAAAAACAAAATTTACCAAATTCAGGAAGATTTGAACTAACTGCATATCTCATCTGGCCATTATGTAATAAAACAAAATTGGCAGCAGACAAATCACTAGTAAGTGCACAAACTCGTGGAGATTAACAACTCATTACTGAATGGTAAATAGGTCCATGAGAGTGTAGTCTTTTCCTTGCCAGCCTCTTTGCCCCCCCCCACGTTGCCGCGTTGCAGTCCCCAAGTAACACACAAAACACTGTATTAATTATGAAGCTGTTGGTCGTCTGCTTGTTTCTTACTGACTATCTCTGACTTAAGTATTTAACCCATAATTGTTAATCTAAGTATTTCTCTTACCAGAGAAAAGGGTCTAGACCTCTTACCCCTATGGCAGCTACATCGTGGCTGACTCTGCCTCTCTTTCTCAGAATCCTCCTTGACTCCTAATCCCACCTATCTTGCTTCCCTATTGGCCAACAGTGCTATTAACATATACACAGGCCGGGCGTTGGTAGCACACGCCTTTAATCCCAGCACTTGGGAGGCAGAGGCAGGCAGATCTCTGTGAGTTCGAGGCCAGCCTGGTCTACAGAGCGAGTTCCAGGACAGCCTCCAAAGCCACAGAGAATCCTGTCTCGAAAAACCAAAAAATATATACACAGGACTTCCCCATCAGGTCCAAGAAAAATCAATAAATTAAAAACTCATGGGGAAAAGTTAGAACTCTAAGTGCCTAAATTAAAGCATGAATAAATGCCTTAATGACCAAATTCAGAAATTTCGAAAAATAATCTTAGTTACTTTTCTGTTGTCATGAAAAGACATCATGACCAAGGAAACTTATAAAAAAGTGTTTAATTTGGGTGTCACAACCGCATTGGGTTAGAGTCCATGGCCATCATGAGGGGAACATGGCGGCAGGTAGGGTTAGTTCACTGGGAATGGCCAGGGCTTTTGAAACCTCAAAACCTTCCCCCAGTGACATACCTTTAACAAAGTCACACCTTCTCTGTAAACTATAAATTTTGTATTTCTTTTTGCCTCACTTGCTCTTTTTTTGTTCAAGACCTGCACAAGAATGATCACTAATTAACCATACAACAGAGTCAATATAAGGCTGTCTTGAAATCTCCTCTGCCAACAAAATTAGTGCAACACTCTTCCGTTTAGCCTCAGGCAGGTTCTTAGGACTAGGGTAAAAACAGCGACATTCTTAGCCAAATAGCATTAGAATGGTCTCTAGTCCAGTTGTTAATATTGTTCCCCTCTGAATGAGACTCCATGGTCTACATTGATCTCAGCACTATTTGTCTTCCAAGCACCTCCCGGGATGGTTCCTTGAGTCCCATTTAACAAAGTTGCTTAGTCCAAAATCCCAAGTTCCTCAAAACACCACACCCACACCTACACATACACAGACAGACAGACAGGAGAGAGAGAGGGAGAGGGAGAATGACCAGTCCTGTCACAATAGTCTACTCCACAGTACCAAAAGTCTTAGTTTTCTACTGTGACAAAACACCATGACCAAGGCAACTTATAAAATAAAGTGTTTAATTTGGAGCGCACAGTCTCAGAGGGTTAGAGTCTATAACTATCATGGCAGCAGGCAACAGGCATAGTGCTGGGGCAGTAGCTAACATCTTGATCCAGAAGCATTTAGCAGACAGCAAATGGTAAATGGCATATGGTTTTGAAACCTCAAAGCCTGCTTCCAGTGACACACCTCCTACAACAAGGCCACACCTCCTTCTCAAGCAGTTCCAACTGCTTGAGCCAAGCATTCAGATATGTGAGTCTACGGGGCCATTCTCATTCTAAATACCATTTTATGAATGTTTTGTTTGCTCTATTGTTTATGGAAGCTACTGTGTTACTCTTCTTATCAGTGTGAACAAAACCACCACCAGAGCAACTGAGGGAAGGAAGATAAACTTTGCCTCACAGACTGGAAGGCTTCACAGTCCATGACTGCTTGGGTCCCATGCTCTTGGGCAGAACGTATCTTTGGAGCATTTCCTCTGTTTCCTGACATAAAATGAGAGGAAAGGGAATACAGAAGGAGTGAGAATGGCCCCCAGAGTCTCATATATTTGAATGCATGGTATCCAGCTGGTAAAATTGTTTGTGAAGAATTGGGAAGTGTGAGCTCATGGGAGAAGGTGTGTCACTGTAGGAGACTTTGAGGTTCCAAGTCCCATGCCATTTCCAGTTAGTGCCCTGTCTCTGTCTCTCTGCCTTGTGCCGCTTTTAGCTATTGCTCCTGTGACATGCCTGCCTGCCTGCCTGCTCCTATGTTCCTCCCGTTATAATCACAGACTAACTTTTTGGTGCTATGAGTCTTAGTGAATTCAATTATAAATTGCCTTGGTCATGGTGTCTCTTCACAGCAAAATTAACTAAGACACAAAACAAATATGGAAATTCAAAAGAATTTAAAAGAGATAGAAAGTAATTAGGCAATCTAAGACTAACAAAAAAATAGTCTAAGCTATCCATGGAAAAAATTTAATTAGATGATATAAAATGCCTGGGTGTGATGAGCATAGTAAAAAAAGAAAAAAGAAAAAAAAAAGCTTTTTAGATCTATAAAATAGCTTAGTCAAGAACTCCACTACACCCAAGGTTGCACCTGGTAACTAGAACCTAGTGACATCACTTACTTAAGATAACCAGACACACAACTACAACTCCACAACGCCCACCTGACAGCATATAAGCAAAGCCCAAGAGCAATGCAGTGTTCTGTGCATCTTCAGGACTGATAGAGACACTGGAGAGATGACACCTTGGTCTGCCCTGTGGTTGGAGGGTCTCCCCCAGGATCCTGACCCTCGAACCAGAGACTACCACGAGACTGGGCCCGCATCTTCAGCTAAGATATGTTGCATAGGTGAGCAGCCTTAGGGAGATAAGCTTAGGAGTATAGTTAGGAACATAGAATGCAAACTTCATATGATGACCTTCGGCATAATAAAATATGTCATTTGTTAGACCAACTGCATGTACCTACTTTCTCACTCCTGACACCTAAGTAAATGAGAGAAAAGTCTTCAATTAGAAGCCACAAGTCAAGTGATATTAAGGCCGCCAGTTACATTACAGAATGAACACAGTTCTAATAAAAAAAATCTCCTGAAAATCCCTTAAGGAATTTCACCCCCAATGAAACTTGTGAAAGTGATGCTAAACTTAAAGTAAAAATAAGTAAAAGCACCTGGTGTAACAGAGATAATAAGAGTGATTTGAATGAAAAATCTTTTTAAAAGCCTTTAGTATAAGGGATGTGTATATTTATGTGAAAATATAAGATATTACACAGAAAGAGTGAGATTCCACCTACATTATTTAGGAATTTTCTCAAAATTAAGCTGTTGACTGAGGAAACTATCTTCCAGAACCAGTGCTACGTAAAATAGATGCCACTTACCATATGTAGCGTAGGTAGTAAGAATCAAGGTTCCTGTCTATGTTTGAGTAGGGAAATGCTGGGAGGGTTAGTTAGACTATCATCTTGAACTTTTTCTTTAAAATCTTGCCATATCTCCCAGGGTGACCTCATATTAAACTCTGCCTCAACCAACTACAGTAATCATAGGAATACAATTCAATGAAGGCCATGGACACACACACACACACACACACACACACACACACACACACACACACGAGAACCTCCAAATGACAGGTTTGTAGATTTATTTGTGGTATGATTGTGTGTGTGTGTGTGTGTGTGTATGTGGTGTTACCTTATCCTCTGCCTTTCCCAAGTTTTGTAACTTCAAAAGAGATGAGGAAAAAGAGGGAAAACTCAGACTCTAGGAGAGATTTCCAATGAAAAGGGTTCCTAGTAGCAGCTGGGAGAACAGGAGTCCAGTCTCTCTTATCACTGTTGCAGGGGAAACAATTCAGTTTCCTGTCTTCATGGACTGTGTGAAGAGAGGTGGTTCCCACCCTTCCCAGGCCTCTCACCGTGTCCAGCTCTGATTCCAAGCTGCAGTTTCTAATGTGCGGGAACACTTCACTGTACTTGCTTGGGTAGGTAGATGCCAGGTAGTCCTTCACCTCCTCCAGGTTGCTGGCTGTCAGAAAGCCATCTTCAAGTTCAAAAGAATTGGTCAGCAGCAGGATCACCCTGCAGAGCAGACAGCCTTCTTGACATTCATGACTAAGGAGCCACTGGCCCTAACAACTCTGAGAATCTGGGTGAGGAGACTCTAGACTAATAACCCATTGTAAGGATTGACAGCTATGAATGTCTGTGCAACTGTGGATGTCTGTGCAACTATGAATGTCTGTCTGTGCAGAAGCTTCAGATCTGAGCAGAGATGAGGACAATAACCCTGACCCCTATGGAGATGCCTGATGAAACTGAATGGGTTGGCAAAAATGTAACACTGTACTTAAATATGGCTTGTACCATTGAACAACCGATTAACCTTAGAATCACTTAAATTTTAAATTTATATCGATATGCAAGTTATTTTAATGTACATTGACTTCCATTAATTTCAGTCCTGGTTTATAGATGGCTACTTGTGTAAGTGACTGCCCTACTGGACATCTTAGCATCTGAGAGATCATTTTCTGTTTTGAGGGAAGCCAAAGACAGTAAACTGTAGTCTCTGAGACTTGGCTACCGAGGTCTTGAGATGGGGGGTGGGACTGAAGACACTGGCATATTTATTTATTTATTTATGATTTTTGCTGAATGCCCCTTTCTGCTAAGCACAATGACTACCTTAAACTGCCTGCTCTCTACAAGACAAAGCTTAACTTTTTGGACCCTCAGAGTCTAGTGTTGGTAGAAGGCAGCAATTAGCTAGTTGTGAATCACACATTGTAGACCTCAATACTGGTGTCTTTAGTCTACCCCTTGACTTCTGGGAACCCAGTTCTTCCCAGTCACCCTTCCAGCTCAGAGCTTTGGAGCCTTGCCTTCCCTCTTGATGCCCAGGGGTCTGAGGGACAACTTAGACTCACTTTTTTAAGCAGTTTTCATAGTTGAAGGTGGCCTTGAAGCCATAGATGGAGAAGGTCACAATGCTGGAAAATATGGCAGTGGTACTGTTGATGATGGACACAATGATGGCGTGTTTCTGGCAGTTGTTGGAGGGTTCATTGTAGCTGGCAAAGGCAATCAGGCCACCACACCCTAAGCCCAGTGAGAAGAAGATCTGCGTGGCTGCATTGATCCAGGCCTTGGGGTTGGCTAGTTGCTCAACCTAGAAGGTCAAGAAGAATAGGACTGAAGAATCCCGGGTTCTAATCTAAGATTCACCCTCTCTGGAGATGTAGGGCCAAAGAGGAGGAAAAGTTACCTCCTGAGTTCTCCATCTCTCCAGACCTGGTCTGTATGCAATATATTTCTTGGCAGGTGGACCACATCATTAAACTTCACTAAAGTTACCCAAGTCTCCCAAAGGGAATTTAAGAGTAAAGAAAGCACTGTAAAACATTGTCAAAGCACTATTAATGCATGTTTAAATCACTGCTTGTAGGAGTGAACCACACAAAGCTATCTGCCCATGAGGGCGGGGACATGTAAACTGACACAGGTAGCTATAAAAGGAAGTGAAAGGAAAAGGAACCTCCCTTTTCTCTTAGAAGCCAGCCACGCTTCTAACTCCTAGCTCTCTCTCTGGTAAATAAATATATTGTTTTCCTTATAGCATTGAATATCCTCTTTATCTGGTGTCAGAAGAGAAGCTTTTATCATAGGTACTCTTTAATGTTTACTATTTGCTTAAATAAACTGATATGTTAAGAGTGATCTAATCCCTGATTTAAAAGACACTAGGCCATTCCCAGACTCCAAACTTCTCTTCGGTGGGGACAATCAGCCCACAAACCATCCACATTGCCCTCATGCTAGCTCACCTGCTGTGCACACTCTAAGTGAGCCTTGAGGGAGATGCACTGCTTCAAAACTGCTTGCATCCAAAGCATATCACTGATCTAGAAGTCTCGCTTTGAGCCTTGAGTGTTCTAAGCAGCTTCCAGTGAACAGTCCCCAATAACAGCCTTGATTTTCAACCATGTCAGAGGGAAATTATTTTCCCTGTTGGCCAAGAAAAAGGCCCGTTGGGACTGGAGAGATGGCTCAGCAGTTAAGAGCACTGGCTGCTTTTCCAGAGGACCTGGGTTCAATTCTTAACACTCACATGGAAATTCACAATTGTGACTCCAGTTCCAGAGGATCCAACACCCTCACACAGACACACACGCAGGCAAAACACCAGTGCAGACAATTATTTAAAAACTTTTCCTCAAGCTGGGCAGTGGTGGCGCATGCCTTTAATCCCAGCACTTGGGAGGCAGAGGCAGGCGGATCTCTGTGAGTTTGAGGCCGGGCTGGACCGACAGCCTCCAAAACAATACAGAGAAACCCTGTCTCGTAAAACCAAAAAAAAACTTTTTCTCATTTTTTGAAGGGAGGCAGCCTGTTATTGGTGCAAACACAGTACTTCTGTTGCACAGTAACTGCCATGATGGATGCAAATACATGTTCTTTCTCTGGCTCTATAAACTAGTGCATGGCTCAGTTTTTGAGTTAGCTGTGTTGCAGCATTAGACCTCATAAAAGTCTCCTCTTGTATGAAGTTTCCTGCCTATTGTTGTATAGCTATTTCCTCCCAATGAAACATTTCGTATTGGAGGGTGGCTTGTTAAGATTCAGGAAGTTAGCTCTGAAGTGCTGTGGAACACTCCTTTAGTCTCAGCACTTGGGAGCCAGAGGCAGAGGCACCAATCTCTGTGAGTTCAAGACCAGCCTGGTCTACAGAGTGAGTTCTAGGGCATCCGTGGCTGCACAGAAAAACCCTGTCTCAAAGCAAACAAGCAAACAAAAAATATTCAGGAAGTTAAAGAAACTGATAGGTCTCATGAGGCTCCTGAAATTTAGGATTCTTAAGATTATTTAAGTGAGAACAAGTAGTGTGGGATACTCTGGGAATGTAGCTTTTATGTGACATTGCCAATGCTGGGGTGGACTTTTCTGTGACACCTGTGCCACGAGCAAGTCTAATGTATCAGGCGAAATCCTGGAGATTTAAATGAAAGGCAAGACGTTCTGTTATTTGTGCTAAGAAAATGTGTGAATGTGTGTGTGTGTGTGTGTGTGTGTGTGTGTGTGTGTGTATTGCAAGGGGGAGCAGCCTTTTATACAGATTTAAAGCACAGTGGAGAAACCCCAGGTGTAAGAGTTCTGTTTTCATAATTAGAGGTTGATGCCAAGGGACAAAGCCAGGGCTGTAAGCCAGGATGCACCTATGGTTATTGACTGACAAGCAACTCACAGAGACCCCATGGGGCCTGGGGCTACAGCTGCCTTTGAATCATCCATGTGGTAAGTAGCCCTAATAAACTCCCTGGTTCATTAAGCTAGGTTTGGACAGACTTATTTCTTTGGCGGTGTTGGTTGCCTTTCCTGAAAAGCAGGTGCAACATCTGCTTCATCATCATTAGAGCAGGTCAGGGGGGAAACAGGAAGAGAGATGGCGGGAGAGACAGGAGAGTCAGAAGTAAAGGGGACATCACCACCACCAGCAGCAGTGACAAGGCAGCTGAAGAGTCCCAAAGAGAGTAGGAGTAGGGAGCAGAGGTCTCAAAGACAGCAAAGACTGAAGAGTTGAAGGCTACAAATTGCCTCTGTTGCTGGATAAATTCCAACAAGCAAACAAAAAATCCACAAAACTAGAGGCAAAGGGTTTAAAATGCCCCAAGCCTGAGAGCTGTCACACTAAGGGAGTCCATGGAAGGGCTCTATAGATATTTGTCTCTAGGCACAGAATTTGCTAACTGAATGAATAATGCATCCTATTTTCCATTGAAGACCATTGGCCTGGAGAGAGAAGGTTAAGAGAGGTATAGTCGCAACATGGGGCAGATAAGGGAAATGACTGGAGTACCATCTGTGGTCATCAGCTCAGTGGAGCATCTAGACAGGACTTTGGGGGAGACCTGGAGCAGGAAGGACAGAAGGGAGGAACTGGCGTCAGTCATTAGGATTAGTGAGAGTGTAAGAGGGAATGACGGGATTTAATGTTCTAGAGTGCACACAGTTGAGAATGACCTGTCTGAGGATGGGTCCATGTCCATAAGGCATCCACAGCCCTTGGCCCAGCCTTGGGCTCACACCATCCTCCTTGGTTACTTCCAGCTTTTTGTTCCTTGTACTATGATTTATTTCCCCCAGCCATACCAAAAGGGACCAAAAATGGGTAGTAGCAACCTCAGGACTTCTTCCCATACCTTGGGCGTGAACATGTATACCAGGCCATTGGAGGCTCCGTGGAGTGTGAGGCCCCGAATCAGGTAGATGATGAGCACAAAGTAGGGCATCGATGCAGTGAAATAGACCACCTGTGGGAACCCAGGAGCAGAGTCAGCCTCTGTAGGAAATAGCTATGCAAAAAGTTCACTCAAAATTACCAGTATATAACTTCATTGAAGATAATGTTTGTAATGTTTAATTTACAAAATGTGAAATTAACTCAATAATATAAAAATCTGTGAGATCTTAAAAATTAAGAGATAAAAGAAAACATCATTCAAGGGAAGATTTTTTTAAAAATAGAGCCTAATGCTGCCCTACCAGAAAAGAGCACAGCTACAACTTGGAGGTAGAGCACAGAACCCACTCACATCACCAGGAAGATGGCACAGTCTTTGGGTCAAATGTCTTAGGGGTTTTCCACAGCTGGTAACATCTGGAAAAAGCACTAAACTTCCTTTCCAGGGTCTGATGGTTTTCAGGATTAAAAATGTAGTCACTTTTATCAGCTCTAATATAAAAGTAAATAAAGCCCCTGAAACTTGTCAAGAAGGTCTGCCTAGAACTATGTTCAGTCTGGGATTGAGGTGTCCCTTGCTGATAGTCCTTGTGCTCAAAGACATCTCAAAATGTCTTGCATAATCCTCCCCATATTTGCCTTTAAAATTATCCCCTCAGCCTCTGTGAAAACATCCTCAGTCTACTATGGCATCCATTTCTCCACGGCTCTCTGTAAATACCATAGTTTATTATGGCACCATGCTGCTTTCCTTTCTGTGCTGTAATAAATCATTTTAAACAAAAGCAACTAAGTGGGGGAGGGTTTATTTGGCTGATGGTGCATCATGGTGCATCACTGAAGAAAGTCAGGTGATGTGGACCATGGGAGGCCAGCTCCCAGATCTGCTCCAGGGCAGCCAAGAGAATGCCTCAGAGTGTGGTGGTGGTGATGGGGTCCTTAGGAAAGATTCTTATCTGAGGGTTGCTAGACTTTTCTATCTTAGGGGGAAGACATGCTTTCTGCTGGTAACCTAAGAAAAAAGTAACAAGCACACGCTTTCCCTGCTGGTAACCTTCTCTTCAACTTAAGTAATCTTTTTCTTGACAGTCTCTCTTTTTTCACATGGCTACACATCTTTCTTTTACACACACTTCTCTTCTACATCTCTTTTCTATACAGCTTCATCTTCCCTGCCTCCACACAGTTTCACACATCATCTCCACACAGCTCTGCAGCAGCTCTCTCACACACACTTCTTCTGTATCATTCATTCATTCTTTACTCACTCACTCATTCCCTCACACTTCTCCCCCCCCACAGGAGCCTTCTCCTGCAGATCCTTACACACCTTCCTCCTCTACACTGCACTGTCCCGATCTTTCTCTCTCTGCCTCTGCTGCTGCTCTTTTCACAGCCAAACGCTCGATAATTATAAGCTACATTTTCAGGGCTCTATCCGTTCTCAAAACATAAGTCACACAGTTTCTCTTAAGCTAGGACTGTCACAATGGCCAGCCAGTGAGCACCATGACCTTGCACATAAGTTGGTGAGGGTTCCCAGACAGTAAACAATTGGCTGAACCTAGGTTGGGGAGTATGTGCAGACTAAAGTTGCTTCAAGATCTGTCCTTGAATAAGTAAGACAACACCTAGGAAAATAACCTCAAGTATTTGTCTCTGGGGGCAGCCAACCTGCTTTGAATCTTCTCTGAAGTCTGAAGTCAACTGTCTTGTGTAAATGGCTGTCTTTGTGACTGAGAATCCTATGTCAGTCTGCGTAATGTAAAATATCCTTGTTTTATTTCTAGTCACCAGAATTATGCAGCTTAAGCATAATCTTCCTAGTCATCCACAGGTATATGCATGCCCCATAAGTGTAAAACCCACCACCAAAGGGCTGTGGAAAGGGAGGCAAGCAGGGAGAAAGCTACAGACAGGAACAACCAGTCAATAACCCCACAGCTTTGCCAAGTGGAGGTCCACAAATGGGTTGACTTGCTAAACACTAGTTGTCACTGCTGCACATTCCCTGGGCTCTCTGCAGTCAGGAAAGGAACACAGAAGGAATTTGAAGAAGTCAATAAGAAATACTTTTGCTGGTTTATTCACAGGATCTTACTTAGCTATCTTTCTTATAAGAATGGGACCACCTACCCAGGGAATCATGTCACCCACAGTGGGCTGTGAAAAACCTCAATACACCCCCCATTTGAGACTCAGAAGGTTGCCTCAGTGGAAAATTCCCCAAGGTCCCTTCCCCTAGACAGGGAACAAAGTTGAATTAAAAAGAACATCTCATCCAGAGTGCTGATGCAGGACACTGGCAGGCTGATAAGGTAAGTTTAATCTTGACCTTGCGGAAGGATGAGTTATGCCCTCGCTTCTTACAATATCCCTATTGCATGCCCAGATCTGCACCTGCAGTGGCTCTGCTTTTTACAATACCCCTATTGCTTTGCTTGCCAAAATTATGTACATAAAAAGAAAACTGTCCTAAAGCCTGGGGCTCTCAGCTAGCAAAAGCGACTGGAGTGCCCGCAGACACCTGTGTAAACAATAAACCGCTTGCAGTTTGCATCCAACTGTCTGGTTATTGAGCTCGGGACGTCACAAGGCATTCAGCCTGATAACTTCAGGTCTTTCAGGCTGGACCCTCTTACATCAATTAATAAGGTAATCATCAGCTTATTGACATAATGTTATACAAATCAGAGATTTTGAACATAATCAAGTGAATAAACTTAATTCAAAATGAACATAATAATAATCAAGGCAATCCCCTACAGACATGCCCATAGACCAATCTGAACTTGGCCACCTCTCAACTATGACTGTAGGGAAAAGGGACCAGTCAAAGAAACACACCCTGAGCAGGGTCAAAGAAACACACTTTGGCCCTGCAACCAGAACCAAAGAAATGTACCCTGACACTGAAACCAGTGCCAAAGGAACACACTTTGTCCCTGGAATCAGAGTCAGTGAAAGAAATACACTCTTAAGCCAGAGCCAAATCTGACCCTAATCCTGTGCAGAAAAGTAACCAATCCCTGAGCAGAGCTCTAGCCAATCTGAGCTCAGCACTAAAATCTGACCAATCCCCACCCTGGAAGCCCTATATAAACCCTGTGTCTGTTCAGCTTGTGTCTGTTCGGCTACTAGGCTGTCCTCTGCTGCTCTGGCAGAGGGCAGCCACTCCTGGATTCTTCCCTCCCAATAAACACCTTCAATGAGCTTTGGGTGAAGATCTTTTGCAGCGGCAGCGGTGGTGACTGAGCAGAGGCGACCCTGGGCAGAGCAGAGCCAGCAGCGCTGTAACACTTGCCCTGGAAACCTTCCCTTGGCAGAGTGGAGTTGTTACACTCTACTTCCCCCTCTCTGCTCGGCTCTCGGCTCTGCTCTCGGCTCTCTGCGAGCAGAGCTGAACTATAGCAACTTCGCCCAAGGAACCTCCTGCCGAGCAAAACTGCTACACTAGGCGAACATCCCCAGCTGGAAGACCATATCCTGCCAGAGCAGAGCGGATACACTGGGGAAGCCTTTCCCTGAGGCTGGGCGCAGCTAAGCTTACTGCAACCTGTGGTGGTCCTTGGCTCCCGAGTTCCAGGATACCTTTCCACCTGAGCTGTGTAACACTCAGTATCCTGTGACTCCCGAGTGCCAGAATACCTGACCCACTCCTGTCCCATCCTGATCCAACCTGAAATGCCTACATTTGGTGCCGAAATCCGACCGAAATGCCAACAACGACTCCCTTCTTAGGCGACTTTGGGCTGTGCCAAGTTGACAGTTAAAGCTAACTAACTAGGGCAGGCACTTGTCTCTCCATGGCCCTCTGTGAATACTTGCAGAGCTCACTAGGACACCCATCTGTCCATGTCCAAATGTACCCGGGCACAGTGTTATCATGCTCCCCAGCTTACCTTGCCAGTTGACTCAGTACCCCGCAGTATGCACAGATAGACAATAAGCCAGGCCAGGATGAGGCACAGTGCTGGCTCCCACTGCACTCCTCCATTCTCCTGGATGGATGGTGAGATGTTGAGTGTTTTCCTGTACCAGAAGTACTGTGTGGACGAAGCCTTTTCACACTCCTCATCATAGCCTGTGTGGTTACCATTCAGTGGGCAGACAGACCACGGCAGGGGATCCTTTGGAATGAAGTGAGAACCAACAGAGAGTTAAGGGCCAAGGGCCTGGGGGGATGATGGGATATAGCCTTGGCAGAGAGATCTTGGAAGAGAAGGAAGCTGGTCACCCAAGGGCAAATGGCTGCAGCCTTGAGGCTGACAAGGACTTGAGTCTTCAGGGGATATGGATGGCATGGAGGATGACTGGGTTGGTTCGGATGTTGAGGATTCCTCAAAGATCTACACCTGGAGGCTGTGTTCCCTTGGATGGGAAGATGCCATAGCTCTTTAGGAGGTGGGGCTAAGTAAGAAATCATTGGGATGTGCTTTCCAAGGAGCTAAGAGGAACCCTGTCATTTGCTTTCTATTCTGGTGTCACTGTGGCTGTTTCCTCCTATATGTATTTAGGACATGATGCTCTGCTAAACTTCATCTTTACTAGAGGCCAAGTTGTGAATTAACAATGTATTCCTCTTTACAAGTTAGTGCCTAGGTTTTTTTTTTTCATCCAGTAAAGCTGACTAATAAGATTTGCTTCTTATTGCAATCCTGAATGTGGCTTTTGAGAACTACTCCATTCTTCTATGGGTCTGGAAGACTCTGCTACTGGTGTCTGGATACTGACCAGACCAGCTACAACAAGAGAACACTGGCCTAGCATCACTACAGCAGCCAAACCAGGAGCTTAAACTCCAACCTTTCGCACCACTGCTGGCATGGTCAGAACTTGTTAATGGTAGGGCTGGAGAGATGGCTCAGCAGTTAAGAACACTGGATGTCTTCTAGATGACCTAAGTTCAATTCCCAGCACCCACATGGCACTAATATTGATTTGTAACTCCAGTTCTAGGAGATCTGATGCCATTTTCTGACCTCCACGGGCACTGTACTAATGGAGTACACAGATACACGTGCAGAAAAAACACCCATCGGCAAATAAATTGTTTTTGGTTTTTTGAGACAGACAAGAGTTTCTCTGTGTAGCTTTAGAGCCTGTTGGGAACTTGCTCTGTAGACCAGGCTGTCCTCAAACTCACAGAAATCCTAATGCCTCTGCCTCCCGAGGGATTAAAGGAATGCACCACCACTGCCCAGCCAGATACCCCCCAAAAAAATAACTAAAAAAAAAAGCTTATCAATGGCTCATGGATTCTTCTCCCTCCCTTCAAGGTAGAACAAGTCAAAGAAAGCAGCAGTTAAACAGCTCACTTCCAGCTTGCCCAAGCCAACTCCTCATTAGGACACCCTTAAGAGCATACACAGATCTTTCATCCATGGGTGTGGGGACAAGGAGGAGGTATGGTCCAGTGCCTTGAAGCTATTGAGGCCCTTGAGCCAGAGACCCTGGCACTAGTGACTTCCTTTAAGCAGTAATTAGCAGTACTCAGGCTTGGCAGTTACGACTCCTTGACTCTGTAAGGGTGGAGACAGTGAAACCCTCTTCTGCTTTCGGTGGTTTTAACTGGGTTTGTTGGCACTTAAAAACAAATTAACTTAAATGATGCCTGTCAAGGATCATACCCTGAGGCCAACTGCTCAGAGAGGTACTAAAGGGACTGAGGGAGAGACATAAGTCTGATCAGAGCTGTGGGTGCTGTGGGAGTAAGCCTGCTTTAAGATAAGCATCTTGTTGCCCACTTCTGGGTTCTATGAGGTCAGAGTCACAGGACAAAAATGTTCCACTAATAGAAACAGTCTGAGCAACCTCTTGGTTTCATGGCCACATTTCCCAGGACACAGCTCAGGGACCAGTGGCATTATCTAGTGGGCCAAGGCTACTCTACAGAACACCGGGCTGCACTTAGGGAACCCATCCCATGAGACCCTGGCTCCAAGCAGGCCTTGCTAGTGGATGTGTGAGCCATTTTTGCAGGCCTGAACTGGATGTTCCCACAGACAGCTGCCAACCTCCCCGGCTCCTTTGTTTTAGAGCAGTTTCTCTCCCCTGAGTGTGGAGCATCAGGACCAGAAGTCCAATGAATGTTTGGAAGTATGCCTCCCCCTCATGCTCCCTTCAGGTTATAACCCACAAGCTCCCCCATTCCTCCTGGAGGGGAGGCCTGCATCCTCTCCCCTTGTTGTTGCTGGCACGACTAGGCCTGTACTCACCTGGAAGGAGTGGAAGAGATACCAGAGGGACCAGGTGTTGATGACGTTGTAATACACAGAGACCAAGAAGGAGACCACCAGACTAGCAATGCCTGAAAGGAATAAGAAGCTCATGCTGAAAACCAGGTGTGGTAGCCCAACCTATAAGCACCCCTAGGACAGACATGATGGGACCACCCAGCCACCCAGGACAGGAATACTTCCCCTCCATGTTTTTTCTAACCAAACCTTGCGTCTGTGACCCATTTTCAAAGCTAGTTCCCCCAACTTCTCATACATTTTTTTCAATATCTAAGTGCTAGGTCCTGGGCTCCATGCTTGATGTTTTACTCAGTGCTCTATTGCTGTGAAGAGATCCTGACCATGGCAAATTTTATAAAAGGAAGCATTCCATTGCAGCCCACATACAGTTTCAGAGGTTTGTTTAGTTCATTATTGTCGCGGAAGGAAGCTGGGTGGCAGACAGACAGACGTGGTAGCTGAGAATTCTACTCTGGATCTGGGGCAGCAGGGGGAGAGAGGCACTGCGATCAGCGTAGGCTTTTGAAACTCTAAAGCCCACTCCCAGTGACACTTCCTCCAACAAGGCCGCACCTCCTGATTCTCCCAAATAGTGCCCCCTGTGAACCTATGGGGGCCATTTTCACTCAAGCCACCACATGTGGCTTTGGTATTCCCATTTCACAGAAGAGGAAATTAAGGTGAAGACCACCCAGCAGAACCAGAATATAAACCCCATGAGAAAAGTGTCACCCATGTGCCTGATATAATTATTCCCTTTAGACCAGGTCCCTGGAGCCAAACTCATCACTCTGTTATCAGGGGGCATGGAGAATGGCAGAGGCATGAAGTCTGGAGACCAGTCCCACTGCCTTCGAGTTGTGAAGGGCCTAGGGTAGCGCTGTGGACAGGGGGAGAGTGTGACACTAAGTTGCTCTGAAGTGTTCTGGCACTGGCCTTTGGGAACACTGTTCCCAGCTCTTGGCATCCACATGCACTCAGGCACCAGAGAAGCAGCAGCCGGCACTTGAATTCAGGAGTCCAGCCCACCGAACGCAAGGCACTGATGATAGGTGAGTCCCAGAGAGGCAAAGTCACACACCAGAATGCAAGGTCCTGAGGGCTTTGGCTCCAGAATATCTCTTGCGGCTGTGGTGCCTTTACACGTTTGCAGCTGCCGTTTTTCCTCTGGTATGTGGCATGGTGTGGATGGGTGTGGGGGGAATCCCTACTGTTTATAATGTAATTATCTCAGAAATATCCCGTTCTACTGGGCATTTTTACATATGGATTATCATGAAGAGGATTTCCTCTTAAGCTGTACTGTTTAACTGAAGCAATGACTTTGTAAAATAACAGTGTTGGTTTAAATAGAATTTTGATGATTAAGGATTTTTAAACAAATATAGTAAGGGTTTACGGTAGAGGTTCGTTTAGTGGGAAGATTAGTACAGGTAAAGGCAGGATATAGTGTTGTCCCTGCCCCTGATAAAGCAGTGGCTGCAGAGGGTAGGAAACAAAAAACAAGGAAGTGTCACACAGCTGTAATTTAGGAGATTCTCTTGAGCAGCCACATAGACTGTGGCTTAGGCTAATGATTAAGAAAAAAAATTGAGTCCCAGAAGCTAGGCTAACTCAAGTTCTTTTAATATCAATGTTGGGAGATGTGCTCATGGGTTTCACTGTGCATCATAGCTAAAACAAAGCTTTAAATAATGACTTAAGGGTAGGTTGAGGTGCTTTTGTTAATGGCTGGGGAACAATTTAAGGTTTAGAAAGGCATACTTTTGATAGTTGAGGGACTCGCTGAGGTCAGGGAACACAAGCAATAGCAGCCTGGCTATTACTGGTTTTTCATACCTTTCTTGCTAGGATGGGTTGGTGATCAAAGGTGATAATTCCTTGTACCCATCTCTGCCCTCAGCTTCCTGATATAAAAAAACTGTTGATGAGTGGGTACTCACCCTGAGGACTGAAAGTAGAGTTGATGGATTGATTGTTTGTCAGATACTAAAGTTTAGATTTGTGATCCTTTTAAGATTTTTTATAAGATTACCTTTTGAGATTAAATAACAAAGTGATTGATCCTTTCTTTGTAACTGTAAAATGCAGCTTGCCAGCAAAAGAACAGTCCGAGAAAGAATGTTGCTTGCTTATAGTCTGTTAACAAGTTGCTTGGACATGAGTGTATGTAGGTTCTTAGGAGTAATTTTTTTCACCTGTAATACATAAAATGTTTAAGCATGTGGAAAACATGTGATTTTTACTTGTATTCAATGTAGCCATTCACTTAAAGAATAGAATGTGACCACGTTGTAGTTTTTATATTGCTTGAGAGATTCTGCTGGGGTATATAAGCTGTAAGGGAAAAAATAAAGCCACAGAAGGAATACATCTGGATAAAGGTAAGAAATGAGAGAGAGAGAGATAATAACGAGACCTGTTGTGTGTGGTGTGTGTGTGTGTGTTTCCCTTTTTTGCTGGCCCCAGAGAGTTACATTTTGCCCTGCTTGCCAGCCCTGGAGAATTAAGTTTTAATCCCTCAGATAGAAAAGTCAAATTGAGTGACTCTGTGTCTCTGCAATTGCTGTGCTGCTGAAAGCTAGTCTCCACAGCAGCGCTCAGGTCTGTTTTTAAGCTGCTGACCTTGGTCTCGATGGGAGTATAGTGATATCGCCACCACCACAGGGAGATCTGGTCAAGAAGTGGGTGTCAGTGCTCCTTAGGGACTCTGCCGCTTTCTTCCCCATTATCAGAGCTGACCCTTCCTTGCTGCTGAGCAATTGCTCCCCTTGCTGGGTTAGCAAGATACCCAGAATTACTGTGGCCATTGATGGCCCTGGATCCTGGGCTTTTACAGAGGAGGCGAACCAGAGGATAACTCTGAAGAGCTATGGCGGGAAGCAAGGCCACCTACTATGCATAGACGTCTTGGCTTCCAAACTCTGGTTATGATGCGCCAAAGCCCCTAAGTGTCGTGGTGCGGATGAAACGACCTCACACACTTGCATGCCACGTTCAGCATCAGGTACACGTTAACTAGGGGGTAGTTGTGTACATCCCCAGATGGTGGGTGGCTGGGACTGAATGAACGCCTCTGTGCCAGGCAGCTATGTCCAGCCATTCACAGAATTCTCAAGCTGAGGTCCAGAGTGGAGATGCCCCGAGGTGGGAGTTTCCCTGGAGAATGCGGTTCCATATGAGGGTTAGAATCCAGGGCCCTCCATGGTAGCCCTCCCTGGACTGTCAGCTCACCCAGTCACAGGCCCTGCTCACGGACAGCAGCCTGCACACCCGTGATGCTCAGGAACACACGAGTCTCTGTCAGAGGAACTGAAAAGGGTCCCACGTACCGACGCCACTGAGGTAGGGGCTGATGGTCCTCCAGGCACCGATGCTGCCCTGCCGCATGCGCTGCCCCACAGCCAGCTCCAGGTACAGGAGTGGCATCCCCTCTACAACCAGCATGATGACGTAGGGGACCAGGAAACTCCCTGCGGGAGAGCAGAGCTGAGCGTCAGGTCAGTGTGGAGAGATGGGATTTACCCTGCCCGGCCTCTGTGCGGCCATGATTCTACCACCTGGGAGCCTTTCCCCAGCCAGAGCTCCTCCCACCCCGCCCTTCTACCCGCAGACCTTTCCATGCAAAATCTATTTTCCTGCCTTAGATCTTTCTGCCTTCCATGCCCACCCCTCTGTCACCCCTCCCTTTCTATCTTCAATTCATCCTACCAATCCAACCTTTCACCAATTCACCCATCCGTGTCTCTCCATCCATTCATTTATCTGTTCGCCTATCAATGGATGGCATGCAGCCATCTCAGTTGTTTGAATACTTCCATCCCGGGAGGCAAACTGCCATTGGTCCCGGCTCTTTGGGTGTCACTCTCCATGGCTCTGCTGGCCCAGCTTCTGCCAGTGGAGCTTCTACACTCTTTAAAAAAAATGTGTCGAGGATTTTGGGAGGTCAGAGGGACAACTTTGGGAAGTCGGTTTTCTCCTTCTACCTTTATGTGGGTACTGGAGGTGGAACTCAGGTCACTGGGCTTGTGTGGTAAGTACCTTTATGATGGGGAAGTCCTGTGTATATGTCAATAAAGCACTGTTGGCCAATACAGAAGATAGGTGGGACTAGGAATCGAGGAGGACTCTGGGTAGGAGAAACACAGGGAGTCACCATGTAGCCGCATAGGGGTAAGAAGTCTAGACCTTTTCTCCGGTAAGAGAAATATTTAGAACAACAATTATGGGGTAAATACTTAAGTCAGAGATAGCCAGTAAGAAAGCAAGCAAACAGCCAACAGCTTCATAATTAATACAGCGTCTTGTGTGTTATTTGGGGGCTACAACATGGCAGAGCCCAGGCGACTGGTGGGGAAAAACCAAAGCGGCAGACAAGAAAAAGGCTTCTCTCTACACCTTTACCCACCGAGTCATCTCCCTAACCTTTATCTTTTCTTTCAGCACTTAAGGGCTGGTGGAAGGCTAGATCCCCCAAGTTGCTAAATAATCTGAACTTTATTCCTGAGTGCTTCTGTCTGTCTTCCTACAGCTCTGGTGGAGTCTATGTGATGTGGTGTCTGAAACAGACCTTCTCCAAACTCTGGTCATACCTGGTCTGTGGGTGGAGTGAAAAAAAAATCAGCTAATCTGCTTTCTGTCTTGGGAGAGTTCAACTAGGTAGAGGGATTTTTGGATGCTTTAGAGTTGCCTGGACTATAGAATGTTCCTTCAGGCCTGATATTTTCAGTGTTCCTAGTAGCTTAGCAAATACAGGGGTGGGTAAACTAGTTGGGTCTCCGAGTACACAAAGCTTCATACCACATGGTCCTTTTTAAAGAGATTTCTCTCTGTGTATGTCTGTTTTGAACAAGCACTTTCAGTCTAAAATTCCATTTTGGTAACAGTGACTTTAAAAAGAAAACCTTTCAAATCTACAAATTCCTAAGAATTGGTCTGTGAATGGAGCTATATAAACACATTGCCACTGCTAGAAAAATATACAGAGGCAAGCAGGGATACAAGACTGCCCACCAAGTCTGCTGCATGGAGGCATGACTCAAGACTACTTTGAAATTTTCTCTTACCCATCCCGTCTCATGGCTCCTTGGCTGGGACCTGGGAAACTCCAACAGGAAAAGGGCATACAAAAGCAAAAAGCCTGACAAGCAGTAGCAGGGACTGAGGGTGGCTTGTAGAGGGAACTGGCTCCTTGGCATTAAGGAAAACAGAAGCATAGGCACACACAAACCCTAGTAGTCATAAAATACCTCCGCGGTACACAGGGGCTGCCTATGCAGCAGGGGTGTTGATGGTCATCTGTGGGACCACCCACTAAGAGCTGAACTTCCATGAAGATGACCCAACTGCCAAGAGAGGGGAAGTAAAAGCTCTAACCCTTCAGATTGGGTGGGACCCTAAGACCAGCAGTCTTCTTGACTTGTGTGTGTTATAGAGCCCCTGGGTCCTTCCCTTTCTTCCTGTTTTGATACCTGCCCTCATACCTTCCTGAAATTCCTCTCCAAAACGTTTTCTGGGGACAAGAGGCTGCCGTCTTAGAAAGCCAGCTTTCACTTCCTTTGTCTAACTCTCCTCAATACTCCTCCAATCCCACTCAGAGTTCAACACCAATGGCTGTCGGAGGAAGGGGCTATGGCAGCTCTGGCTGCTGCTTGTTGAGATGCGCAGAGTCTGGGCTGGTACTGGTCTGAGAGAGGGAAACTCTTACAAGGCAGGCTCTTGGGGCCTCTCCAGTGGGCTGCAGCCCACATCTTCAAGAACAGCTCCAGTTCCTCCACTGGGTCCATTCAGAGCTCCATTTGCACCTTTCAAGAAACCTCAGGTTATTCCCTTGGGCATGGCTAAACTTGATTGTCGAATTGATTACATATGAAATCAACTAAAACCCGAAGAACTGGGCACAGCTGTGGGGAATGTTCCTGATTGGATCATTTGAGGTGGGAAGGCCCACCTTAAGTCAAGGCCATACCTTGTGGTTTTGGAAGTTTACATAAAAGGATATGGGAGGAGGAAGTTTGATGCCCAGTTCTGACGATGAACATATTCCTTTGCTGGCATTAGAACCTACTTCTTTCAGGTTCTAACAGACTGAAACACCCAACCTTCTGGGCTGAGCAATTACAGAATTTTTTTTTCTGTGAGATAGCAAATGCTAGACTATCTAATCTCAGCCTATAAGCTACTTTAATAACTAATACTGTCTCTTTAGGGAACTAATTAGTAGAACCTTATAGCTAGGAAGTTGAGGTGGGACTCAGATCCCCAAGGGAGTATCCCTGCAGATGTATCACAGAATAACAGGCAGAACCCAAAAGCTCTGGGTAGTCACACATTTTTCTTAAGCCAATCCTTGTAACTGCCATAGAGTGTAGACCAGTAACTCCATTTCTTTAAACATAGGTTTGACACTGGTGTATTGAACGGTGGCCTTTTGTTTACCTTATATAATCTGTCAGACATTTGTAACATTATTAAGCCTTCTTGCTTTCTTTTCCATTCTAGAAAAATATACAGCCATCTTATGAGACATAGATATCAACAGATCAACAGTCACCAAACCTGGGTATGACAATCTTGCAAGCAGGCCCAGTTGATGTCATGAAGATGGCAGGGTTTTGGCTTGGAAGATAGTTGGGATATAACACTACCTTGATAAAGAAAACTAAACTCAATCTGCATATATACTATTATCTATATATTTATTGTTAAACAATGGGGTTGGTAAGTTTCCAGGTATTACAAAAACCACAAGACAGTCTTCATACAGTACATAGTGATCTGCCATGACCATACTTTTGGTTTTGAATGAGCATAAGTAGCTCATGTATCATGAAATAATACCTTTAATCTTTGATTATTGTTCTTTCTCCTTGTCACAGTGTCAATGGTTATCCTGACTCAGGAAAATGAGCTTTGGAGGCTATTTTGAGGCAAACACATGGTTAGGTCTGAAGTAGAAGGGTCAAATTCTACCCCCCCCAGTCAATTTCTTAGTGCTTTCAAACAGCACACGACAATTTACACAAAAGGCATTTGCTCCTCTGTAAAACCAAACCCAGTGGCATACTCTTGACAGGAGAGTTGCTGTTGGATCAGTGACCCCTGGTTGAACCCACAGTGCCTGTTTTCCTTATAACCAGTAGAGAAATAATTACCCAGGTGAGTCTCACTGGGTCATGCACTGGGAACAGAGATTGAAAAAGCTATCCTTTTAGAGTTTTAAAATTTTATAAAGTCGTGGGTGAGTGGCAGTGAGCCCTCATAATAAAGTAGGAAGTTATCTGCCTTTTTGATGACCTACCTGAGACCCTCCCTATCTAGAATTGGGATGACCAACTATTTGAAAGACTCCACGCACAGTCATTTTGCATGTGCCTTCAAATGGAGGCAGACAACTTGTAAAACCCAAGAGCTATTTCTCTTTAGCCTCTGCCAAGGAGAAGGCTCTGTGAACATAGGTGGTCAGTAGAGTTCTCCCACAACGTCCTGCAAGGGAAACACCCTGTCTTTGTTAATATACCTCCTGACCAAAAGCAACAGCAGCAACAACAACAAAACAGTTTTTGTTTTAATGTCTGATTCAGCTCACTGCTTGAGGAGGCAGCCGAGGAGTGACTTTAGAAGAATCTTGGAAATCGTTTGTCTCATTTACAATGAGATGGAAGAAAAAAAGGAGAAGTCTTGGGTCAGGAATGTCCCCTTTTCTATGCACATTCCCACATTCACCTTGAAGGGCAGCTCCAGCTTGTGGACAATCAGCAGCCAGGGTAGTCCCTGGAAGAGGCTGACCCGCCTAACCATGGCTCAGGTCCCTGCCATCTCTATGTTTCCCTTTTTAGTCTTTCTTAGTGCAATGTTGCTATCTTGTGCCTGCCACAGGAGTCAGGTCCAAGTCCCCTAGAGCTCCATTTAATAACATTTATTGCCACCATTCCTCAAAACACTTGATTTGGCTGGAAGGCGGTGGTGCACACCTTTTATCCTAGCACATGAGACACACAGGCAGGTGGATCTCTGTGAGTTCAAGTCCAGCCTGGTCTACAAAGCAAGTTCCAGGACAGCCAGAGCTACACAGAGAAACTCGGTCTCAAAAAAAAAAAAAACAAAATCAAACCAAAGCAAAAAAACCCCACTAATTTGCCATGAGTCACTTTCTGTATAAACCACATAAGCTCTAGAAGAGTTGCTGGGAACCACATTTACTGAGCTCATTGAGCACATGCTGTGTGATAGGGGGTTTTCTGCTCCAGTCTTACCATGATCACAAAATCTACAATTATTTCCCATGATCTGTAATTCACACAAGTTCACAGAGCCAGAGGGACAAAGACAGATGCAAAAAGGAGCCGGATGGGTTCCATCCTGTGAGTCGACTGTTACACATGCTGTACAATTATAAATGGCCAAGACTCTACTAGTATGAGCCTGGGAGTCAAGATTCATCATGGATAACTTCTAAAAAGTTCAGTGTCTAGGGTCTGTTTCCTTTTGGGACACATCAAAATTCAGAAATTTTCTAATAGTCATTTGCATAAATCTCAAAAAACCATTAGAGTTACCAGACCATTACCAACCTTGGCTAACAAGCAGGGTCCCCAGATGAGCAGGCTTTAGGGGAGGCAGTTCCCAGCTATGTAAACTACGTGACTGTGAGTGGAGTGTTAGTGGCGCATACCTTTAATCCCAGCACTCCTGAGGCAGAAGCAGATGGAACTCTGTGAGTTCGAGGCCAGTCTGGTCTACAAATCGAGTCCAGGGCAGCCTCCAAAGCAATACAGAGAAACCCTGTCTCTAAAAATCAAAAAACAAAACAAAACAAAAAAAACTATGTGACTGTGACCTTGCCCAGGGTCCTTTCAGACTGGCCAACATGGTTTCAAACATGTATTAGATGTGTGTTCAGGCCACTGATATTTGCCCATTTTTCAACAGAATCTGGTTATCTGTACCCATGCTATTCCCTGTTGCATCACACTACCCAACCCTGAGGCTAAGGATTTGAGGCTGCAACAAGTAACACCTGTTAAACAGAAAACAGTTACAGAGAGGTGGACCCTGAATGGGGAGAGGGATAAAGCCATTCCTGGTGGGGTATGGGGTATCTAATTGGAAGGAAAAGTGATCACAGTCCCAAGAAACATCAAAAATGCCAGCTCTCTGTGAGTTGGAGGCCAGCCTGGTCTACAGAGCTAGTTCCAGTTCAGCCAAGGGTACACAAAGAAACCCTGTCTCAAAAGATAAAAGGGTTCACAGCGCAACAAGTGGACATCTGCATGGGTGCTCTTGGACACTGGTTAACAATACCTTCCAACCTCTGAAGATCCCCTGACCACAGCAACTAGACCAGACTAAGGAGGTGACACCCCAGGTGGAAAAATAGAACTATACATTACAGCCCCTGTTAACCACGAGAACCAAGAAGCTGGAGGGAGAATCTCCTTAGGTGCTTAGAACACTGCAGTCTGCCTTCAAAGCCCCAGATCTTAACCCCTTTTTGTTCTCCCGACCCCACAACAGTGAATGGTTTCTGATACACCTAATGTACCCCCCTGTTGCTTCTGGGAGCATCCCTGGAAGAAATTGTGATGTGATAGGAAATGCAGGGCCCTGAAACAGCCTCTTAAACTTCACCTAGCAAGAAACCAGTCCATGCAGCTCTAAAACCCAACATCAGGATCTGCTCATTGTGGCACCCGTGCCACAGAGCAAGTCTAATGTACTGGGCAAAAGGCTGGAGATTTAAATAAAAGGCAAGACTTCCGTCCGTTTGTGCTAAGAGAATGCGTGTGTCCCTTTATTGCAAGGAGGGAGCAGCCCTCCCTCCTTATAGAACAGTGGAGAAACCCCAGGTGTAAGGGTCCGTGTTTTCCTCGTGCTAGATGTTGATGGCATTGGGGCAAGGCCAGGGCTGTAAACCAGGACTAGAGAACAGGATGCACCTGCGGTTATCAGCTGACAAGCAATGCACAGAGGTCCCTGAGGTCTGGGACCCAACACTCATAGCTGTGGAGACTCGCTACATTTTGGTTTATATTATCAGATATTCCCCCATTACAGGGCTTTAAAAATCCTATCAGGTATTCCTTACTTAAGGCCAGTGGATAAAAGAGATCCAAATGGGTAAGGACACAGTCTAGGTGGCCTCTGCTGACTGCCGTGTGTAAGACAAAAGAGACACATGGGATCTGTCTCCTGGGCCACAGCAGTTATATTATTCTCTCTCCCTCCTCCTCCTCCTTCCCTCTCTCCCTTTCCCTCCCTATCTCTCTTCCTCTTTCTCTTCCCCTTCTCTCTCCCTCCTCCCTCTTTTCCCCTATTTCTTCCCCCCTCTCTTTCTCTGTCTTTCCCCTCTACCCCCTTTCTCCTCTCTCACTTTTGGTTGAGACAAGAGTTTTCTTTGTGTAGTCCTGACTGTTCTGAAACTCTCTGTAGGCCAGGCTGGCCTCAAACTCAGATCTGCCTGCCTCTGCTTCCCAAATGTTGGGATCATCACCCTGAGTGCTAGGACTAAAGGTGTGCACCACCTTGCCTGGACTATATTTGCTCTTACAATTGGCTCTTTAATATCTCATGACCTTAATGAATTCCTAATCTCACAAGACCCACCATTCAAAAACAACCTGAAGTAAATATTCTATTTCCCCATTTCCCCCTTCAAATTAGTAATCTATAAACAAACACCCTAAGCACTCAGCAAATAACTTACCGCATATACCCACAAGTGGATATGGACTGCTTTCCCGTTTGTCACACAACTGGAGAGTGGAAAAAAGAGTAGGGGTGCCCATAGCACAGTAGGACAGCAACAAAAGCAGGCAGCAAGGAGGGAAAAGATACCCTGTATCAAACTGAGGAGAACCAACATCGGACACGCCAGCTGGAAAAAGCAGCATTGGCCCAGTGAAGCCCTCATCTCCAGCCTCCCAACTCAGGCAGGTGGATCCTCCTTCTTTGCCTACATCTGCCAATGGTAGCGGCTTGCTTAGCACCTGGCCCTGGGCTGCTGAAAATTCATATGAGCTTCCCAGGTCTGGTAATCTTAGTTCTAGAGGGTCACGACTGGAAAAACCTGAAGTCTCCTTTAGCTCCAAGGATTGATAGTTACTGCCCTGTGAATGGAAGCCTGGGCCTCATGAATGCTTAGGATTTTAGCAGCCCTACCCACAGCCCTCGGCTAAGTGCTCTTCTTGTCACTTTCTTCCCTACTCAGCCACCCAACAGCTTGGAGAGGTCCACGGCCCAGTCCACCCAGGCACACGGGGGAGCCTAAGGAAGGGGGCATGTTGTGGAGGGGCCATTTGTTCCTCTATCCCAGCAGTAGCTATGTGAGTTCTGGGCAAACAGCTAAAGTCCCTTGGGGCGCCAGCACCCAACATAGATTTCCTACACAGAGACGGAGTGCTAAGTCACTCACCGAGCCCACTGGAATTTCAGGCACTTCCCACTTCGAACTCAGAAGCAAGCCTGGTATCACTTCCTTTCCTCTATACTGCAAAACTTCAGGACTCGTTCAGGTTTTGCCTATGTGCTAGAACGGCTCAAGAAAGAAAAAGCTGAGCAAATCTTACCTAAGACAGCCTACCTCCAGGTGCTTATACTTAGCTATTCATAGTTCAAGAGTCCAGCATGAAGTAATGAAGCAATATAGAAGAGGAGTGGGAGCCGGGCGGTGGTGGCGCACGCCTTTAATCCCAGCACTCAGGAGGCAGAGGCAGGCAGATCTCTGTGAGTTCAAGGCCAGCCTGGTCTACAAGAGCTAGTTCCAGGACAGCTTCCCAAAACAAATCAGAGAAACCCTGTCTTGAAAAACCAAAAATAAAAAAAATAAAATAAAAATAGAAGAGGAGTGGGGGAAATCTACCCCCTCCTACCCTTCCTCCTCTGGAAGATATTTGGTTCCTTGGAGTCCAAAGTCTCTTGGCTTAGGAGCTGTGGCTTCACCCTCTACCCTAATCATCATATGGGTTAGCCAGATGAGACCCATCGACTTACACTGTCAAAAGCCCTACTTTCCTTACTCCTGGTGGAGGTGGGAGCTGTCTGGGCTTCTCACCATGCTAGTCATTGTTGGAGAGGGTTCCTTCACCTGAGGAACCCTCAAGAGTGCTGGGACTGTCAACAGACACTTCCTCATCCTTCTCCACAATTTTGAGTCAGTTACATGACCCCTACATAGAGGTCTTCTCAAAGTAAGGATGGGAGACGCCAAGAAATGTCATAGGTGTTGGCGGTCATCTATGGGATCATGGAGCTCAGTTTCCAGGAACAGAAGAACTAAGCTGCAGGGGAAGGGAAAGCAACAGCTTTATCATTTTGGGATGGGAGTGGAACTAAGGCTGTCATCCTGCGCTCCCTTGGGTATTTGATAGGGTACCTGGGATCCCCCCTTTATCCCTTATTGGTACTGTTCAGATGTCCGTCCTGTGCCCCCTTCCTGCCATTCCTCCCTACAACATCTTCCAGGAACAGGAAACAGTCATCCAGGAGCCGGTTTTGCAGAGGGGCGTTCTGCTCTGAAAACACTGGCTTTTTACCTTCTGCTTGATGCCAAAGGAGGCCAAGGCCTGAGTGATTTATTCTTAGAGACACCTGGCAGCAGAAGCCATATTCCCGCAGCTGTTTGGAGTTACGCTCGAACACTCAAAGGTCATAAGAAAGTCTAATTTTAACCCAAAGTATCAACTAGCAACTACAGCAGGACCATGTCAACTTGTCTCTGTGACAGCCTGCTTGCTTGTCGTCTGGCCCAGGGCCAGAAGACAACTCAAAGCTTGTACCAACGTGGGAATGTGGGCACCTTTTAGCTCTGCCCAGCAACCATTTCCCCAACATCCTCAAACCTCAACAATGCAATCCAAGCAAAAGAGCTCTGCCACCTTTTTGTCAAGAAAACGACGATACAGCTGAATATAATGAACCCTAGTGGATATCACATTCTACACACAAAAAGGAAGGAAAGGCAGTAGCTCCACATGCGCAACCCAGAGGTTAAGAACTTAGAGAAGGAACAGAGAAAACCTTTATGACTTTAAGTCGGGCGAAGACTTTTGGATAACACAGAAGCGCCGTCCGTGGGAGCAGAGCCCACACCTCCCCTCTTTGCTGGACTGTGGGCCAGCTCTTGGGAGGTGACATCTAGCAGTCCTATAATTCACCCAGATTCCAGGAAGGTGAAAGTTCGAGGCACGAAGCACTCGGTTACTCAGACAGGCTGCTCATGCACGCCGCACTCACCTCCGCCGTACATCTGGCACAGATAGGGGAAGCGCCACACATTGCCCAGGCCCACTGCGTAGGAGACGCAGGCGAGCAAGAACTGCAGGGGGTTGCCCCACTTTGGCCGCACCTTCTCCACAACCCCAGGCTGGGCACACTCTGCTGATCCCAGTCTTCCTGGGTGCTGACCCTGCAGCCCCTCATCCTCTGGCAGGGAGACCACATGTGCGGAAGGTGATTCCATCTCCCAGCGTGGAAGGGGCCACTCCTGTGCTCTCTTCTGGACTCCAGGCCCCGATGTCTTCTGCTGTTCTGTCTCTAGGACTCTGGAATCAGCTTTCTGTCCTGTCAGGCCCTGGTGTGGGCCTTCCCTGCTTGGCTGGTGCGTCCCTCTGGGTCTCAAGCTCACAGGTGACCGGTTCACACCCTCCCACTGACCTTTGGCCACACTCTTTTGTCTGTGTCATGCCTCTCAATCGCCAGGGTCTCTGGGATCCTCAGACTGCTATTAAGGATTACTGCGAAATATTTCACAAAGATGTGATTGCATCTCTCGGGGGCTGATGGTGAACTGGAAACTGTTCAGCTACAAATGGCAGAAAAACTCTGATATACGTGCCTGTCGATTTCTACAGTATAAACACTCCCACCATGGCACACCCTGAGCTACCAGTGCAGCTCAGTAAGTGCAACGGGACACTATTATTTTGGGTTCCCACCTTGCACATACAATGCCACAGGTAGCCTCAAGAGCATAACTGACAGTAAAGGACAGCGAACAATCAGAAATGGTGAGTTTTGAGTATTGTGTCTGGTTTATAATTCACACATCACTCAGATCTCCGTCATAACTCTATTTAAAAATCATCTCAACGAAGGGGATCAGTCCCGGTTCTCTGGGGTGTCCAGATTCCCAGCGCAGGGGATTCAGTCTAGCTTAACCCCACCCGAGGGTGCCCAGGAAGCCATTCTGGCTAATGGATGACTGCCTGTGGGTGGGAACTTCACTGTGCCTATCAGAAACAGGGTACAAAAGACTATCAAGCTGTGTCACCAGAATTCTGGAGGAAGGAGAGAAGGGGGGGGCAGCTCTAGCCAAGGTTCTATAGTCTTACCCTACAAACTAAGAAGGTTATACAATTTTCAATCATTTGCTCATCCTGGCGAGTCCACTGTTAATTAATCATCAGAGTTTCTAGTTTCCCTGTATGAGAAAGTCCAAACTCCTTAGCTCTGTTTGCAAGACCTTGACGGATTTTTTTTGGGGGGGGGGTGTTGCAGTTCTTCTCTTTCAAAAAAAAAGATTTATTTTTATGTGTGTATTTTGCCCTCATGTAGGTGTGTATCTATATCATCTTCATCATATACATGTATATGATACACACACACACACACACACACACACACACACACACACATATATATATATATGGAACAGGGGTTATGGATAACTGTGAACCACCATCTGGGTGCTGGAAACTGGATCCAGGTTCTCTGCAAGAACAGCCAGCACTTTTAACTCTTGACCCATTGCTCCAGCCTCCCCTTTGGAGATGGGGTATAGCTAAGTTGCTTGTGTAGGTTGGGTCTTCGGTCTTCCTGCTTTAGCCTCTCAAGTAGGTGGGTTACAGGTGCATCTCACCACCCGGCTTCATGTTGACTTCTAATTACAATTACTATATTATTTGAGATTTGTTTTGTGCCCTAAGATATGATTTATTTGGGGGAAGCTCCGTGTGCTGATGAGAATGTATATTCTACAGATTTTGTATGAATAATCTTTTAAAAATTATAATTGATCTTTTATCATTATACAATGATCTTCCTTTCTCTTTCTTACGGGGTTTTCTTGTTTATTTTTTGAAACAGGTCCCTACTATGTAGCCTAGTCCTGGAATTATAGAGCTAGCATCTATTTACCTTAGCTTCCCCAGTAGTGGGAATCCGGGCACACATTGCAACCACGTGTGGCTCTTCTGTTTTTGATGTGAAGTCTGTCTGATATTATCTTTTCATTTTCTAAATTAGTCTGTTCACATAGTGAGGAGAAATCTTGTGTAGAGAGAGGCCTGCAATTGCAACCAGGAGATGAGGGAAAAGCACAACCATAGACATTTGCTTTGAGTTTATCCACAGTGACAACTGGTAAAAACCAAATATTTCTTCATCTTATGTCTCAGATCTGAGTCAAAGGTGGTTATGTTTCTGGAATAAACAGAAAGTTTCATGGTTAATATCAAGTGTACAAAGATGGAATGTCCCTTTTCTCTCCAGCCTATTGGTGAGAAAGTGGACAAATTCCATAATCACCAACCACTGTGTGCCTAGAAATAGCAAAAGATTTGTCTGTAATATGACTTAGTACCAGCTCAAGAGAATTATTGAGAATCAGCTTGTTCTACATGAGCTCCAAAGGATCTCAAAGTAAAGCTATGCCACCATGGAGAAAGTGGCATTTGACTGTATGTGGAGAGCTCCCTGGCTGACCTGTTCAGCTTAGGGTCTTCTGACTCTACAATGGTGTGAAAGCAAAATAGGACTTGGGTTCAATTCCTAGCACCCACATGGCAGCTCACTCCCAAGGCTTTCTGATGGAGGTCCCTTGAATCCAGTAGCATGGACACTGGAAATTTTCAATACTCCCAGGTGTTTGGGACAGCAGAGATGATAGGCACACTGAAAAAGTAATAGGATAATGATATAGGACAATCTTCCTCTTTTCATCTTGGAGGGTATATGACATTGAGACCTTGACTGCAATTGCCAAGTGCAGACAATGACTATATCGAGGTTGAGAGGAGGGTACAGACACTTAAGAGTTTAGGAATAGACTCTGCTGTGGTATCATGGGGGTGCATCCACTGTTCAAACCTAAAAGCCATCTGATGAGAAAACAGGAGTAAACACTTAGGTAAATAAACGCTGCTTCTTACATTTTAAGTACGGTGATCATTTTGAAACCAGGCATGAAGAAAAGTGTTGATAAGATGGCAGCTAAGACAGAGAGAGATTTGTAAGTTATAGTCCTACAGTAAAGACTCACTGTTGGAAAGACATCATCACTATCTGCCTTTTTTGATATGTATATTATTTTAGTTTCTGTGTATTTGTTTCATGTATGTGTGTACATGTACATGCTAGTAAAAACAAGGATAGAAAAGGATGTTGGATCCTCTGGAACTGGAATTATCAGACACTGTATGCTTCCCAACATGGATCCTGGGAACCTAACTTTGGTTCTCTGCCAATGTAGCAAGCATTTAGCCAGACATTTTTCTCTTCTCCACTACCACCCACCACACCAAAGACCTTTCTAGTGCCTACTTTTGCCATTGGGGAAAAAGAAAGAAAGGACATCTCTGTCTGATGTTCCAAGTGAAGTCTAAGTGTCTTCAAAGGTGTCTGCACAGATGGACCCAAAGAAGTCCTTCAATTCCGTGTGCTCAGCAGAGCAAAGATTGTTAGTACAGGAAGGACTCTCAGCCTGGATAACCTTGATCCACTTTATTATGATAAAAAATAAAACGGACAAATTCACATGATGGATGAATAACAGCCATAAATATGGAGTGTTTTCAACTATACACTGCTCTGTGTGATTTATACACATTTTAGAAAATTACTGTGTAGAGGTGAATGAAGGTGGTTGGGAGCGAAGACACTGGAACCCCAGGGGTGTCTGTTCAGATTCCCTGTACAGCCTAGGGTTGTCACAGCCCACTGTCAGGAACCTTAGATTCTGAGAAAAGTGACCTCCTTTTAGTGGCCACTAAATCTTGGTATTATTTATAGTGTAGTCAGGGAACACAAAAATTACATACCCACTGAGACTTTAAAGGAAAGGGTTCTAATATGTCACCCTAGGCGCTTCAAAAGTCTCTGACACTGGTTGAGAAGCAATTACCCTCTAGTATTTTGTTTTCTTTTAAGAAAAAAAAAACCCAGGCTGGGTGTTGGTGGCACACGCCTTTAATCCCAGCACTCGGGAGGCAGAGGCAGGCGGATCTCTGTGAGTTTGAGGCCAGCCTGGTCTACAGAGCAAGTGCCAGGATAGTCCAAAGCCACAGAGAAATCCAGTCTCGAAAAACCAAAAAAAAAAAAAAAAAAGAAAAAGAAAGAAAGAAAAGAAAAGAAACCCCCCCTAAAAAAGAAAAGAAAAAAACAAAACAAAAAACAACAACAAAAAACAAAAAAAAAATAAAAGAAAAACTGAAGTGCTGTTCAGCTCCTCAGAGTTACAGTCAAGTTTCTAATGACAGTTTACCTTAAATTCTAGGACTTTCTAGAGTCAAGGAAACAATGATCTTCAGTACTGGCCTTAACCCCTGATGACAAGAGGCTACAAGGTATTACCTTCAGATGGCATAGAATGGAGGGCCTCTCCTAATGGATATGGTCCCCTCCCCGAGACAGCCTTCTTTATCTAAGCGGGATCCCTAATCCTCTTTACAGACTCAGGATGCCCCAGACCAGCACTCCAACCAAGGAGTTCCCACCAGCAGGCAGTACTGTGAAACAGAGTGGCTGACTTCCGTCTCTGGGAGGTCCATTCCTAGGCCACTGGGGACGAGCCTCCCCTCTTGAGGCGATTCCTGATGAAAGTCCCCAGGGCCACCAGGGGGATGCACATGATAGATGAAGCCACCAGCAAACCGATGACAGCTAGTGCATGTGGGGGGTAATCCTTGGTCACCAGCTGCCCCTGGAGGAAGACACTGAGCATCAGGGGAAGGTCCCTCTCACCAAGTCCAAGAGAACTGTTCACCCAAGCCTTCTACCAAGGGGAAGATGAGAGGAGGACTGTGGTGCTCCACTACCCTGCAATTCACAGCAAGTCTTCGGAGAAACCACACCCATTTTCTCCATATTTCGTGAAGAAAGATAATTCTGACCTCTTCAAGCACATATGAGACATCACATGTGAAACTCTCCAAGAATGCCATAGAAACAATTTTCCTAGTACCTAATTCTGAGGCCCTAAATGCTATGTAACCTTTAGTACAGACTAGTACTTTATGAAGCGGTAGAAATGTTCTGTATAAATATGGCTAGTGTAGCATGCCAGAGGAACCGGTACTTCTAGGGAAAGGTCCACTGGGGTGCTGTGGGGTGACTCTCCATACATCAAGGTTAAAAATCTCACAGCCCAGTTCTGCTGCACTAGACTGAGCATCCCTGAAACATCTCGATGAAGTTCCCGTGCTGTCACCTGTAACCTCCTCACACCACAGCAACGGCTCCGTGTGTTGTGAAGTGACCTCATGGGCTCTGCCTTATTCCCCAGCCCTGTGGGAACATCAGGTACCTGAGTGGCATCCCAGGCTTGGTACTGTAGCGTTCCTGTGAGGATATAGTCACTCAGGTAGAAGACAAAGAGGCTGATGATGAGCACTGGGCTCACAAACGCCCACATGGCCTTCCAGTACCAGTTGAGGGTGCGGCCGGTCATGGCCTGAAGGTCACTTCCAAATCTGTTGGACCACAAGGAGAGAGCCTAGGTTTGTTCGTGTTCTGGAGGGAGGGGCTCCAGTCTGCATCCCCTCTGCCCTTAGGAAGATGCTCTTCTGGTTACTGATGGTGTTTGAACGTGCCCCAACCCATCTGATCCTTTCCTGGGGGAGGTGTTGAGGTGAAGGGAACAGGGCCGAGGCTGTCTGAAGGAGGATGGCCAATAAAGAAGGGGTCGTGGGTCATCGTCTCTCTGGTGTTGGCCTTCAGAGGTCCCCAGGTGTGGATCACGGGCTAGTTCCCAGAGAAAGTGGGAACAGGGTGCCTGGGGGAGGGGAACGTCAGTCCTCTCAGTCCACAGGGCTAGGTGACATTCCCTCTCTACCCACTAGTGATGGTTCCAAGTATTCCTTACTGCCCCCTAGAGATGGTCTTAGAATAGTTACTCTGTGCTCGGGAGAGCCTAAGCTGAAACTAGAGGCCGCCCTTGTGGTCATATTCTAGCTTTCTCCTTTGTCTTACTTGGCTCTCTTGCCCACACGCAGTGACAGTGCTGAGGCACTCATTTGCAATGGATTTGATGGCCAGCCCTATAGGTTACTGATACACATGCGGAAGTATAAAAGCACTTCAGCGCTTAGGAGCCCAAGCAGCCTATCTATGTTTTAGGACGGAGGCTGCAGGACAGGGCTCTGATGGGATATGATTGTGGCTCTCAGAGCCTGGGTGGCCAGGGAACCTCAGACCAGGGCCTTGAAATCTGCTCACTGGGAGGGGGGCTGGGGCCGGATAAGATGCCTTTGTCAGCAGCTGCGGCACCGCCACCTGCCTCCAGGTCTGCTCTACGGTGTCCGTGTTTGGTTCTGCTGCTTTCTACATCTGCCTGAGCTGGCCTCTAGCTCCCCACCGTGAACGTGCAACGAGAACGCGAGGACGAAGGTCAGAAAGTGCCATGCACACCTCTCGTTCCTCCCCTGTTCACTTCGAATAGAGAAAGGCAGGGGAGTTAGCGGGCTGCTGCAGAGGGTGTTGGATTCTGGAGGCCACTAGATGGCGATGTCTTCCTGGTCCTTGTCTGGATCACAACAGACCTGCAAGGCTCCCTTCGTTTCTCTCTCCTTCCCATCACTTTCCACCAGGGATATAACTGTGCTTCCTCTTCAGTCATCCTAGGGAGCTGAGGCTCAGGCCTCTCTTTAACTTTCTTCTACTCTGGCACATCTTCTTCCTGACCAGTCCCTTTCTCCCAGACAACTGCTATTTTCTAGGTGACCATTTAAACCTCTTCACACTGGGTAATCCAGAAACTGATCACGCTATCTTTAAGGGCTTGAAAACGTCATAAGCTGAGGGGGTGCATAAGAATAAAGGATAAAATCCCACGTCGGTTTGGGAATGCCACAAATTATAACCCCTCTTTTAGGTTCCCAAGCATTTTCAAGACTGAGTCCTTGGGGGGGAAGCTACCAATGTGGTGATAACCTAACTTATCTACTGAAACAGTTGGCCACTGGAGACGCTTCAGTGTGTCATGAGAGCCTGGCTCTTCAAGAGACCGTGGGGAATGTTTCTCAATGGACAGCCTACCATTTACAGCGTCATGGCTGGTTTTACCTAAGCCCAAACCAGTTTAGATCATTAGAAAAATCCAAGGAAGAGGAGGGGATGGCACAGCATAGGTCTTTGACCCAGATCACATCCAGACAGCACTTGTAGTGTGCCTCTGAATCCCTTATGTGACCTCACTCAGCAGGGCAGGGTGACTGGAGGGCCTGAGTTTCCCAAGGGCTCTTTGTCGCTGCTGCTGCTGTTGCTTGAAGGAAAACTGGAAAATCAAATTCTCCACTTGTCGGTCTCAACAACGAGTAGTCCAGAACACCAAGGAATGTCTGAGTACTTGGACCTCAACCCAGATCTCCTCAACCAAAACCTCTGGCAGGCAGTAGTCCAGTTTTCACGAGACCCCCAAATGATGTGATAATGCCCAGGCTTGAAGGCTGTCTTAATTAGTAGCATTGACCCCAGACATGTATTCCATCACCTGGGAGACCAAAACATCCCAGTGCTGGCCACGGCACCTAGGCAGAAATCTGACACATCTGACTTTTCGAAAAGGACTCTGGTCAGGGTTCTTGAAAAGTTCTGGTGTTGATGGTAGATGACAGAATCTAGTCCTGGAGACTGAGTCCCCGCCCAGAAAGCCATGAATATGGCAGGGCTAACAGAGAAACACATCAGGATACAAAACAAAACAACAGGAAAAGGAAAGAAAATGTTGGATGCAGGCAAACCGAGGAAGCAAGAGAGAGCTAAGATCTGGGAGCAAAGAAGAAACTGACAAAGAAGAACAAGCATGTCCACCGGGGAAAGACGATTTTCTCCTGAGTGTAACCCTGAAGCTTATCTTCCCCCCACCCCCTACTGTAGCATCTGGAGGACTCCTTACCTCTTTAGCCCATATACATAGCACACAGCTATGGTCTCCACCAGTACAATGAGCAGCAGGGACAGTGTGGCTGCGTAGTCATTGAAGATGTCAAACCAGTAGTTCCCAGCCTCCATGGTGAACACCATGCCGATGGCACAGCTGATGAGGCACACCAGCCCTGGAACACAAGATCACCGTTCATCTCTCTCAGTCTCCCTGCCTTTCATCCCATATCCGGTGTCAACAAGAACCATCTATCCCTGGGTGTGGTTTGGAGGGTGAGTTCACCCACACGAGCTGTAGGAGCTGCTTTGCAGGGGATTTTAAGAGCAGGAATAAAACCAACGGTCAGGGTGTTGCTCTTTGGGGGACATCATGATGGCTGAAAGTCTGGGGATGCTGAAGACACCAACAACTTGGCCCCAGAGACTATGGGAAGTGGACCTAGAGGAAGGCTTAAATATGGTGTGGGGTCCCAGATAAGGATTGGTTTAGGAAGAAACTACAGTTTACATAGGTCCTATCACATGCCAGGCTCTCTGGTCATGTATCTGACCAGATTAAGCCTCTAAGGTAGTATCCAGGAATCCCTTTTATACCAGGATGCCAAGGTTTAGTGATGTCAAGTAACTCCCCATAGCACAACATGGCAGAGTCAGTATTTGAGCTCTGGCCTTAAGCCACCAATATTTCCAAGTTTTCTTCTGACTCCCTAAGGCTTTCCGTGCTGTGTTTGAATTTATAGTGGCCCTGACCTTTGGATTGCCATACTGTATAGTGTCAGACAGTGAATGTCCTGAGAGGCTCCCCTCAGGAGAGCATTAAGTGCTGGAATGGGAGCTGTATGCACATGTACTGTGGACCACAGACACCCGATTTCAGAAAAGATACCAAGGCTCTGAGGAAAGGGGAAGGGGACACTTCCCACTGGATGGCCAGAACGTGTGATCAAATGTGGCGCTTTTTCATCAGTCCTGGACATAGAACCATCAGAGGCAGAGGTGGCTACATGATCCTGGCTGAGTGGTATGGTGGTGAAATTAAAAATGGGTCACTGCGGTCCACATGACATATCCATACAGCTCCAAGACCAGCTTACCCAAGTGAGGCTGCAGTGAGTTCTTAGCCCAGCTCCCGGAGCTGAAAATCGCACTGTAGCAGGAGCACACGGCTACACTCCTACAGCCCTCCTGCAGTTGTCTCTAGAAGCACACGGCTCCTAATTAAACCCCTCCACTGACTGTCTTGCATTTCCACACCCACCCCTGCCCTGCCTCCACTGCCTGGGGTCCTGACCTGAAATGGCCTCCTTGGGCAGGTAGCTGGAGATGACCTTGCTGTCAGTCAGAGGGGTGAGGATGGCCGCTGTGTTTCCAAGCATGCTTCCCATACCCAGCATCAGCAGCATGAAGAAGTAGAGGACTGACCACAGCTGGGACACTTCCATGTTTTTAATGGCCTCCGTGTAGACAATGAAGGCCAGGCCTGTGCCCTGGACAGCCTGAGGGTAATTGAAAGACGCCAGTTATACACCTGAGTCAGGGGGGAACAAGGGGTGGAATGTGATAGTTTGAATGTGAAATATCCTCCACAGGCTCATGTGTTTGAACAGTATGTCCCCAGTTGCTGCACTCTTAGAGGTGTGTGTGACTGTAACACCAAACATAAAAACCCAGAGACAGATATTGGGGTTTAAGCTTCAAGCTGCAGGCCAGAGAAGCAAAGCAGACAGCCACTAGCTCTTACCTCTACCTCAGTCTGAAAGGGGCGATCCTATCTCCACAAGCTGTCCAACAGGCCTCACACTGCTGCCTCTCCTCAAGGTAGCTAGAGATTAAATCTCAGAAAGCAGCCTGGGGCACTGGGCTTCCATCTTTTATAGACCTCTCTAGAACTGGGATTAAAGGCATGAGCTCTGCTCATCTTTTAGACTGATTCACTCTAGTGTAACCCTGGGTGACCTTGAACTCACAGGGATCCATCCTGAGGCCTGGAATTAAAGGTGTGTGCCACCACTGCCTGGATAGTTAGTATGGTTGCTGGGATTAAAGGTATATATCCCCATTGCCTGACTTCTATAGCTTGTAGCTGGCTTTTCTTTCTGTATCCTCAGGCAAGCATTAATAAATCATAAATAATATTATCATTGGACTCTCAGTGGAGGAAGTAGATCATTGGGTGTCTTGAGATTTTATAGCCTGCTGTTACTTCCTGCCTGTTCTTTGCTTCCTGGTGCAGCCTCAAGATTCTATTGTCATGAGCCCTTCTCCACCATGATAGGTTGGACCCTCTCACTCCAGGATGCTAAATAAGCACCCCACCCAGGACCCTGCTAGTTTCTTCTTATTAGGTATTTGGTTATAGCATCAAAAATTGTGTATTGACTAATACAAAAATGTAAATAAGCTTAATGGCATAAGCACAGTGGGAATAGTTGGCCTTAGGAACAGATAAAGATAAGATGACACTGAAAATTTTAAATGAATATTACATGTCACACAGCAATGATTTCACTATTATTACCAGGAGCCATCAATTCTAAACAATGTCAGTGTTAAAATACTTCCTACTGGGGCATTCTGATCTCACTTCCCTGCCATGGCTATCACCGAAAGCATCATATCATAAACAATTGGAATCAATAACTTTAAAAAATAGAGTTTTCAATGGTCAGCATAATTATTGGTTTAAAAGGTCACTATAGTGTTAATATTAGATTAGATATGGCTGAAGAGAGAATTAGTGGACACGGAAGTATATCTCAGGGTAAACTCTGTTCAATGGAATGTAGTTTGACCTAAAGATGCACTTAAACTGAACTAATAGTATCTTTGTACACGATGAACCTTAACCTGACTTGATGTGTAACAGACTTCAGTCTTTATATCAAACTGCTGAGTCTCAGACAATCACATCAGCCCAACTTCTGCCAACCAGACATCCAACTGCTTAAAACAAGGACCAAAGAAAGCAAATACAAGTTTAACCCAACTGAGCAGTCTGCATACTTCATTTCCATTTTCTTTTTTACAATTTTATTTTATGTACATTGATGTTTTGCCTGCATGTATGTCCACATGTGTGTGTGTCAGATCCTCTGGAGCTTGAGTTACAGACAGTGTGAGCTGCCATGTGGGTGCTGGGAATTGAACCCAGGTCCTCTGTAAGAGCAGCCAGTGCTCGGAACCGCTGAGCCATCTCTCCAGCACACCCCCCCCATTTCCACTTTCTATACATCATTTTCTTTTGATATGTATATAACCTGCACATGTGAGGGTAGAACATGCTGAACTTCATTTTGCCTGGTATGCTTTCTAACTACAGAATCAAACCAATTAAGGTCTATAAAAGTGACTTGCTATTAGATTCTGTCTTACTTACTTTTCTGTTGTTGTGACAAAATGTCATGACCAAGACCACAGAAAAGAAGGCGTTTAATTTGGGGTGCATGGTTGCAGAGGGTTGGAGTCCATGACCATCATGAGGAAAGCATGGTAGCAGGAGGGCAGGCATGGTGTTGACACATGAGAACTTATATCCCTTTCTGCAAATAGGAGGCAGAGGGAGCTAATTGGGAGTGGCCCAGGCTTTTGAAACCTCAAGCCCACTGCCATTTTCATACCTCCTCCAATGAGGCCACACCTCTTAATCCTTCCCAAACAGCTCCAGAAACTGAGGACCAAGTATTCAAACATATGAGTTTACTGGGGGCTATTCTCATTCAAGCCACTACATTCTACTCATTGAGGGTCATAGGCTTGTGGCCATATCATAATGTGAAATGACTTTAGTCCAACTCTAAAAGTCCCCATAGTCTTTCATAGTCTGAACACTATTTTTTGGTTGTGAGCCTAGCCTTTAACGGCTGAGCTATCTATCCCTCCAGCCCGTCTGAACACTATTTTAAAGTCCAAAATTGAAAGTTTCTTCTGAGACTCTAGGCAACATCTTAATGGTAACTCCTTGTAAAAATCACAAAGCAAATCACATACTTTCAATATAAAACAGCACAGAATATACACTGTCATTCCAAAAGGGAGGAATGGGAATATAGTGAGAAAATACTGGACCAAGGCAAGACAGAAATCTGGCAGGGCAAACTTCAAATCTTGTAGCTCTATATCTGCTGCCAATAGGCAAGATGGAAATCCAGGAGGGCAAACTCCAAGATCTGTAGCTCTATATCAACTGTCAATGGACTCTTAGGTAACTCTTCCCTTCCAGTGCTGCTGGCTGCAACATGTATCTTTCTCTCTTGGCTTGGTTCCACTCTTCTGCAGATATCTCGTGTGATTCTAGCATCTCAATCATCTTGAGGTCTCCAACACAATCCAGGCTTCATTTTCATAACGTCATGTATGGTTTCTCTGGGCTTCCTTGCAGGGATGCTCCTGCCACACACATGGCCTCAGAGGCTTTTTCTTAACTGCAGAGGAGGATTCCACAACTCCTTTACTCCTGTATCCTTCAGGACTCTAAAGCAGGAACCACCTGGCCAATGCTCCCAAGTTCAGCCATTTGAGTTGGAACCTGTTCCCCTTCTTTAATTATATTTGCATAATATTTTCCCCATTGCAACTTTTTAGAGAGAGAACATTCCTTAGGCATTTCCTGTTTACAAATTGTAGGATTAACCGGGTGGGGTCTAGCCCAGAAGATAACACTCCTTTTATTCCATTTCACATCAGGCCTCTCCTTATCTCTTTCAGTAGAGACATTAAATTTCTTGGTGCTTTTTTTCCCTCCCCAAACTGTACATTTTGTGTTTCTTTTTGCCCTGTTTATTATTTTTCATTTTAGCCCCACATAAAAGTGATTACTAATAACCATGCAACAGAGTTAATATTAGGCTGTTTTGAAATCTCCTCTGCCAATAAAATTAGTCCAAATGTTTTAATTTGGCCTCAGGCAGAAAACATCCCATTCTTTGTCAAAGCACCACAAGAATAGTTTCTAACACTGCCAATGATATTGCTGCCCTCTGAGCGAGCCTGAGCATCCATAGCCCTCATTGATCTCAACACTGCTGTCCTCCAAGCTCCTATTAGGATGATCCATTCAGCCCTGCTTACAGCATCCGACACCTTTCCTAATCCAATGTCCCAAAGTCTTCCATATTCCTTCAAACAGCAGCATGGCCTGCCTGTCACAGCAATAGCCCACTCCTTAGTACCACCACAAAACACTATGACCAAGGCAACTTGAGAAAAAGAAAGTGTTTAATCTGGGGCTCATGGTTGCAGAAGGTTAAAATCCATGATCAGCATGGGGGACGCATAGCAGCAGGCAGGCATGACGCTGGGGCAGCAGCTGAGACCCTACATCCTTATTCTCAAGTAGCAAGCAGAGACAGATAACCGCCCCCAGTGACACACCTACTCCAACAAGGACCACACCTCTTAGAACTTGCTGGGGACCAAGTATTTAAACATATGAGCTTATTCGGACACTCTCATTAAACCACCACAGATTCCCTTCTAAAAACATAAAAGGAAGCACAAAGTAAACCAGCCAACCAGCCAGACATGGAGATTGTAATATGCGAGCATGAAGTTATGAGACCTGTGGAATAGGAGGGAAAAGATTAACATAGATCTAAATGAAGATCTTCAAGGAGAACAGACAGAAACAGAAGCAATAGTTAAGAAGTAATATATATGAACTTGCCAAAACTGAGAAGAAATCATATATTCATAAATCCAGCAGGTTTACTATTATTTAGGCTCAGGCCTGGATTAGGTAATAAAAACACATCCACACTAAATTCACTAAAGAAGCCAAAGACAAAGGGACATATTTAGTGAAGTCAGAGAAAGAACTGTCCACTTACAAAAATAAAAGAAGGGCAGACAAGAGAGTTTAGTTAGCAAAGGTCCTTGCAGTGCAGGTCTGAACTTATATTCAATCTCTAGGACACATGAAAAGGCAGAAGGAGAGAACTGATTCCACAAAGTTGACCTCCACACAAGTGCTGTAGCACACACACACACACACACACACACACACTTAATTTAAAACAAAAAGTTCACCAGCAACAACAAAAACCGGAATTATAAGGCAAATATTATCAAAGTGTGGAGAGAACGTAAAACCTGTCCTCTTAGGACAAGGTCTTTAAGAAATGGGGCCAAGTGCTGGAGAAGTAGTTCAGTGGTTAGGAGCACTTGCTGGCTACTCTTCCAAAGGACCTGAGTTCAATTCCTAGTACCCGCAGTGGCTTACACAGTGGCTAACTCTGGTTCCAGAGATTTGACAGCCTTTTCTGACTTCTATGGACACTGGGAATTCACATGGTGCATGTAGACAAAATACACATAAGACAGTTTTTAAAAAGAGTATGATAATATATTGCCAGACTGTGGTAGAACACGCCTTTAATCCCAGTACTCGGGAGGCAGAGGCAGGTGGATCTCTCTGTTTAAGGCCAGCCTGGTCTACAGAGTGAGTTCCAGGAGAACCAAGACTACACCGAGAAACCCTGTCTCAAAAAACAAACAAAGA